CTGGAACAAGAGCAGTGTCTGCCACCCTGTAGCCCAAATTACCTATAAGCTGAACTACTCTCCCGGTTCAGAGACTTAAAAAAAAAAAAAAAAAGAAAGAAAAGAAAAATAAAATATTCTAAGCTTGAATTCCATTCTGGAATGAGTTCAAATAAATCCAAAGTGCTTTAGTTTAAATAAAAGAATTTTTGAAGCTTGGTGAATGAACCAATTAAGGACAAACAGAAATACAGGCCTCAAAAATTTCCCAAATTTCTCACTAGAATGAAAAAAAAATAAACAAAACAAAAAACCAATTATGTTTAATGAATTTTAACTCCAACATGAATTTTAAATGTTGCCATATCTTAAGATAAACGCAGTATTTAAATGCAAGACCTCTGACTCAACCTCCACCTTTTAATCTTTGTGTTGAGCTCAAACTAGGTTTACATCCTTGCAATGAGGCCCTGTGCACTTTTCCCCAAACTATAACAATGCAATCTCCATTTTGAACAATGCACCTCATTTCCCTCCTTGGAAAGCTACTTTTGTCTTAAAGCCAGTAGATGCTGGATCCAGTTATAGCTCTGACCTCAAGAGCCTGAAAATTCTCGGTGTTTATAGTTTTTTGGTTTTTTAAGCCACTTCAACTTACATGTGCTTCCTTTCCTTTCAACATCAAGTTGTATTTGCAAGCACAAGCCAGCCTTTCCTGTATTTAACTGAAAACACCTCTTTGCAAGGCATGCCTCTCATTTCCCTTGTTTTTAAATTTAAAGTGAACACTCCACAACACTTTTGACATTGTTTGCAACACGTCCTGGTGGATCGCGCATTTCTGCGGTCACCAGGTTCCCCGTGAATATTTGCAAAGCATCCCCTTGTTCCAGCAAGTGCCGCCCGCCCTCCCCGCTCCTCTCCGTGCTCGCGTTTGTGTGAGCATCTTCCAATGCTCCCCGCGTCCCCGGGGCTGCCAGTGGCTATTTGCATACCCCTCTCCCTGGGAGTGCTCGCGGGCATCCCTCACATCCTCGCATGGGAGTGCGGACCGTATCTGCCAACCCAGAGGGAGCATGCGGGGTGCCCTCGACTTGTTTGAGTTCGCCCACGGACTCTCTACCTGGGGTGCTGCTGTAGGTGCTGTGGCTCCTGAAGCTGCTCTCAGTGCAATAACTGGCGTCGTCTTCATCCTCCATCTCTTCGGGGTAGTCAGAGTCGTCGTCGTCCTCCTCCTCCATTATCTCCTCCTCCTCTTCCTCCTCGGAGTCCTGGTTATCCTCGGGGTCTCCCTCCTCCTCCTCCTCGGACACCATGCTCTCCTCCTCCTCCTCGCTCTCATGATCGTCGTACACCACTTTGCTGATGCTCCTCCTGGACGAGGCAGCCCTGCCTTGGCTGTTGCAGCTGCCTCCTGCGCCTCCTCCTCCCCCTGCTCCTGCCGCCCCGGCCCTGCCCCTGCCCTTACCGCCGCTGCCTCCCCCACCGGGGGTGCTGCTGCCGCCGCCGCCCGCCTTCCTCTTGCCGCCCCCCCTGGGCGAGGCGGCGGCGGCGGCGGGCGACGAGGCCTGGGCAGCGCCGGCTCCCTTCTGCTTGGGCCCCGCCGTCTCCGCCTGGGCCGCGGCCGCCCACCTGCCGCGGCTGCTGCCGCGCTGCCGGGAGGTGAGGGAGCCGCCGCGACGGGGCGGCCCCGCGACCCCCGGACCCGGCACCGAACCCGAACCCGGCACCGACCACCGACCTCAGATCCGACGCCGGCACCGACATCGACTCCAGGCACCGACGCCGGCACCGACCTCCGCCATCGACATTGGCACCGACCCCCAATCCGAATCCGAACCCGGCACCGACCGCAGGCACCGGCACCACTCCTTTATGCTTCGCTTGCCTCTTTCCCCCCCGCCCCAGCGCACGGTCCTGACACCGCCGCTCCCTCAGCCGGCCCTGCCCGGGATTCACCCTCTCCCCACACCGGAGGCGCTGGGCCCGTGGCCGGGGTCTCTCCCAGAGCTCGGCCCGAGGGAGCCCCCGGGCCCGTCGGGAAAGCTCTGAGCGAGGTGAGCGCCGGGCCCCGGGCAGGGGCTCCCCACGAGGGTCTTCATTCCCCGTCCAAATCAGAGCCCCCGGTGTCCCCTCGGGAGACGCTTCCCTCCGCCATCGGCACCAAGCAGCTCCTCTGAGCACTGACACTCGTCTCTGGCCGTGCTTTGACTCCTCGCCCGTTAAACCCCTCTTACGGCTCACCCTTACACAGCCAGCGCCCGCCTAAAGCAAACACTGACATCACACACGGACCCACCAGCACCGTTTTGCCCATCCACGTTCTCTATTCTCTGCGTCCACAGTTCTCTGGAGCACTAGGAAAAGAGATGGGCTCCATCTGCTTTGTATTCCCTCTGGTTGTCTCATTTGCCAGAGCCTACAAAGAGCTAAAAATCAACAAAAACCAGTTGCACAGTTGGGTTTCCAATGCCACCACCTGAATTCAGGGTATCACTTTCATAAGCAAAAGCAGTACAAACTGAAAGTCAGCCCACGGCACACAAATATGTTGTATTTCTTACAGCCAGCCTTCCTTTTCATTGCTAGATGAGACAGCTTCAGGATTTCAGAGCCAGAAGTCTTATCATTAGAAAATCAGTCTGTTTACATGTTCATTTCTTTCAGTCCCTTGCTTACACATCTGTGCAAGGTAAAACCCAGCACTGCTCTTGCCACAAACATGGCAGTGACCTGTCCAATGTATCATTTAATTTGCATTCTTCAATAGTAATTTTTGAAGTTCTTTTGTTCATTACCTTGTTGCTCAGGCCAAGCACCTCATTAAACCCACAAACCTGCCACAGCGTCAAGCACACAACACTGGCAACAGGGTTTAGCCCAATTTGCACTCTATATCCAGCTTTTATCTGCAACTCTTTTATATTCAGTGTTGCAGCTGCACAGGCCCAAAGCCCTGGTCTGAACACAGGATGACACACACAGCAGCAGCCAACATTGCCCAACCCCATTTACACCTTTCTACTCAATTTGTATTCTGAACCCCTCAAGTTACCTTTAGATTGCTGGGGCTGATTTTTGCTGCCTCTTACAGGGTGGCAGAGGATTGTGGTAACTCTTCAAATACATGAATGTACAGACACACATTTTCCATTATCTCCTTCTGGTATCATGGGAAAAACAGCTGTGCATTCTGCCATCTATACACTGGGAATCTAGCAAAGGTACCTAGTGCACCTGCTGCACCAATCACACAGCCTGCAGCTTCTGAGAGCATGAACACCTCCAAAATACTGTGGATTTTGTGTATTTGTGGTAGATCAAAGGTGCTGAGAATCGTGTGCTCCTGAACTGTGAACCAGAGTATCTGTCTCTTAATCCCATCCCTTACTAGTTGTGTCGTGGAAGTGCTTAAGGAATAGGACTTAATTTTCATTTTGCAGGTGGAGAAATGGGTGCACAGAGAGGTATGTTACCTTCAGGGACAGGATATAAATTAGTCCTTTCCAACACACAGCTCAGTAGAGAAATCAACCCCAACCCCAAAACCTGCCCATTCCACTCAGAGTACAACATACGGATTTGGAGCTTGGAGCTCCTATTTGGACTCTGCTGGTAATTAAACCAGCATATTTATAAGTTAATTGAATACAGCAGGAGGAGGAATTTTTGGGTGGAAGCTCTACCCTGCTCCCATCCTTAGTACAGACGGAGAAAAAGCTTCCTTGGACAAGGCACTTTGGAGAAGATGAATAGCCCAGTTGTTCCACGCTGTTGTCTGGGTGGGCTCCTTTCTCCAAGGATAAGGGAAAGAACTTAACCTACAGCTGGGTGGCATTCAGCACAAGTGAGCAATGCTCTTGCTTAAATTATTGAGATGCTTTTGTCCAGTCCTTCACTCCAAACTATTTCATAACTTGTGTTAGGAATTGTATTCAGGTGTTCAGCTCTCAAATCAGTTCCACACACATTTTTCTAAGCCACCACAGCGTTGCTGAGTAACCTTACACTAGAGCTCAGCAGCAGCAGCTCAGCAGCAGGTGCAGGAAGGAAGGGCTTGCATGACTTTTGTCATGAGGTAATTCAATACAGTTACACTAGAGCTCAGCAGCAGACTGGAAGTCAGGTGCAGGAAGGAAGGGCTTGCATGACTTTTGTCATGAGGTAATTCAATACAGTTCCAACTGTCATTTTATTTACATGATGAAAACCAAAGTATATCAGTATAGTGATATGCTGAATTCTGCCAATATTCCATCACATAATTAGTAAAAATGACATCATATTTGCTGTTCTGAAAATGTACTGATTATCTTGTCCCCAACAATCCACTTTACACTTGACTCCAGGAAATTCAGCATTATGCTTCTGTCCCATTTTTCCCTACTGCAGATGAAGAGTCCCACAAGTACCCTGTAACAAGTCAGCTTTAAGGGAATGCCTCATCAGAAGAATAAGTCAACAGATACCTGTAAAATCTTCTACAAATGTTGTCTACGTAAAACTTTAGTTCATCACTTTGTATTTCAAAGAGAATCAAAATCAATCCAAGATATACTTTGAAATGCTAGAATTCAAGCAGCATAGGTGACATTAACTAAGTTGAGGCATTCAGTAGTTGAAAGAGTACTTACAGAAAACATACTGATGTAGGTAAGAATGTTCTTATTTTAAATTCAAGATAAGTGTTTTTGTCCAAAATACTGAAAGCAACTACCAGTGCCAAGAAATCCCCCTCTATAAATCTTCATCTGCTACTGCAGGGTTTTTTTTCAAACTTCTACATACATTTGGTACTGACAGTACAAATACAACTGAACATGTCACCTTCCAGAGTGACTCGAGCCTTTTAACTGTGTGTGCAGCTCCTTCCAAGCTACACAGCCCAAGACAGCAAGAAGCCCCAGCACTTCTGCCACAACCATCTTGTGTTTAGCCAAGAATCCTGTGGTATTCTAGAAGTTCCCATCATCACATATCAAAATTCTACATGAAAATATAAGCAAACATCCATCTTCTCATCCAGTCAAAAAGAGAGATTTTAATACACAAGGTTCAAACTTACAACTCCCATGTAGCTACAGAGTAACCAGGCTCCTCCTATGTAGAAAACAACTTTTGACAGCCCCAATATGGAGTGCTAATACATCCTTGTCATAAAAGGAATCAATACAAAATAAATGTGTTAATGAGCTTCAAATTCAAATGATTTCCAGCACTTCAATAGAATAGGTCTGAGATTCTCTCAGGTGGTTCAGTCTTTGCAATTCCCGCAAACTTCCTTCAATCTTGTTGAGTTCTGAGTAGAACCGTACCTGAAAAGAAGAAAACAGAGACATTTACAGTAAAACACATTTTAATTATTTTCATACATCATACTGTGCAACTGTCTGTGGTTCTGCACAGCTTAAGATATTTAAACCAAAGAAAGCAGCTTTTGAAATCCAAATGAGACAGAGGCAACTGCAATTCATGCTCAGGAAGGAGCATACAGAGGAGGACAGACATGATTTGATTCATTATATAATTTGTTGTCTGTTTCCCCCTGTTCTCAACATCCATATTCTGAATCCAACTGAAAATCAAATAATTATCCCAGAAGATGCAACTTACTTGGGCTCTCACAAACTTATGCAGGTTTGAAAGCAAGTCCTTTGCCTCTGGAAGCATCACCATGACAGTGAACTGAGCATCAAGCAACAGGCACATCCAATCCATGATCTGAAGACAAACAAGAAAAGTCCACTTACACTTCCCAGTCTGGAAATAACACACATTTGGCTTTAAAAGCTGAACTCTGGACATTAACTTCTATTGCAAAATGCATGGGCTCATATGTTCAAGCATATTTTAAGATATATTTGTATTTTGATTGTTGAAGTGTTACATTTGACTCCATACAGGTTACACTGACAGACAGGTCCTTGTAGAATGAATGCAGATGTCAGCTGATTTTAGATATTCCCAACTCCTCACAGTTACACACCCCAGAAAGAGAAGGAAGCACAGCTCACAGAATGAGCTGCTCACCTGATTTATTGTGGGAGAGCGTACTCCTGGAAGAGTGGTGTTAACTTTTTCACTGCATTTCACATACAGGTAATATAAATACCTGAGAAATAGCTGAAAGTAGAAAAGTCAGAACATTTGTAAAGGACAAACATTTAACAGACCAAGGGATTTTGTCCTGCACACAGTAATAGTCATAAGGGTTTTTTAAAATTTATTTTTTGTTTTTGAATGCAACATAGATGCCTGTATACTAAACATTAAAAACAAGTTTTATGGTTCTCTTACACCACCCATAGCTGGATGAAATTCTCAGCAATATTCAGGCTAAATTACATCCAGGGGTAATCACTGTTCCAGGAGATGTGTCAGAGCTGAGATCAGCTTTGCTTTGATGTGTGGGGTTTTTCTAAAACCACTGGAAAATCACACATATGCTCAGGTACACACATAGTTCTTGAAGTGATATTTCAGATTTTGAGAAACAGGGGAGTGTGGTGGGTTCTTTCCTAAACTGAGGTGATCTAGATTTGTATTACATTTGGGATTATATTGAGTTTGTTTCTCATATTTTCTAAACTTCTGTTTGTGATAGGAAAAAGACACAGTAATTTAGTCAGTCCTTTCTTAAAAAACATCTAAATCAAGGGAAGGTATTATTACTTGCTAACAGAATATGAACTTTTTCCAGGTATGCTGGGTCATAAAGAGAGTTTCTTACTTACATCTTCTAAAATAAGCAATGACTAGAAATATCAAGAAAATTATGTAAGCATATGGAAAAATGTGATATTCCTTAATATTAAATCTTTTGAGGCATCCTAATTTCATTTTCATGCATTAGTTTGTTATTCAGACTCCTGAAAGAATGGTGAATTTCTCATATACAATAGAAAAAAAAAACTCATCCCTTTCCTTCACCATGAAATAATAAGTGTTTTAACACTTTTTAATGTTAAAATACTTACAATAGCTTGTTGAGCTGGAAGGTTTTTCAGGTGAGGCAAAAGAAATGTTTCAGTGTAAGATGAATGGAGAACAGCATTTCTGTGCAGTGCTATTAAGGGAATAACATTGCAGGAAAAATACCAGTTTCTACAAACCAGAGTGAATTCTGAAGAAAATATTTCTCCAGGTTTTTGTGAGAAGTTCTATTTGAATCTTATTTCTACCATGAAATATCTACAGCAACTGAACAATGAAAGATTTAACTTGAACAGTTCTGTCCACTGCAAGGGTGTAGCTGCCTGGTGTGTTTTAATGGGCAAATATCCAAAGCACTGATACCTCTTAAGTAGAGAAAAATTATTGCAGAAGTGTAATAAAACTAAGTTTAAATTGGTACATTCTAAAAGCTAAATGTTTCTACTTATATCTTAAACAGCTTTTCTACTGAGTAGGAGCAGCTCTTATGAGAACTCAAACTTTCAGCAACAACAGAGGATGTGCCTTTTGGCAATACCAAATATAAACACGCACAGCACGTGCAACGCTCTGGCTTCCCTTCACCACGCAGAGGATACAGCAGTGCTGCCTTCTGGAGCCCAACAGGGCAGGATTCCCCATCGCTCTGGCTTTCCTTTGGCATTTTGGTATCACACATGTCCTGCTCCATCTCTTCACTGAAACCATTTTCTAGAATTTCAGTCTTAACTTCCATATTGTTCGATTCAACATCGACGTAACAGATGGCAGAATCTAGATTTAGATCTATATTTTTAAGATGGTCTTCACTCATGCTGTAGAAGAAAATTTCAGACATTTAATACTTTTAATTATTAGCTTTAAAATCAGCAATGCCATCAACGCACATAATGAACTCTTTGAAGCTGATTACGAAAACAAAAACAGACTAAAATTTGGTGAAGACAAAAAGGAGAGACTGATTTCGAGTTACCTTAAAAATGCTGTCAGGCAAGCATAAGTAATTTCTTCAGGAATATCTGGAAACCGTTCTAGGCAGATTTGTAAGAGATGCATGTCTTTCTTCTCCAAAGCAACAGCCATTAAATCCGGACATAAACTATAAGAATATGAAATTAACAGGTTGCACTGAGAACTACACTGGTGACTAAGGTAGTGGTACTAATCTTCCTCCCAGCATGGATTTTTATGCAAAACACCAACTTCATCAGAAAGTAAACACCTTTGGTGCTAAATTCTGGTAATTCAAGAGCAGCTTATAAAGAACTTTATTTCTACTTTTTTTAATTTTAAAGACTACTCCTTACACTTTAAAAAATGCAGAGTCACTACCTGTAGGAGAAGTCCCGGGTTTCAACGATCTCCTGCAGCAAACTTTGAGGGTAGTACTTTGGATTTCCTTTACATCTGTCTGTAAGGGCAGTGACCACACAGCCAATAGCAGCTTGCAGATCTAGGGTCGGTGCTCTCGCCAATAGTTTTTTCAACTCAATTTCCACCACAAAATTAGAAGCACCCTGGAAAAGACAAATAATGTGCAACTCAGAAGTACAAGGCACGTGTTTGAGAACTACCCCGGCATTAATTAGACCAAGTAGAACCAGACCTGTTTTGGAATTCAAGTTACAAAAATGTACAGAAATCCCTCACCACTGTGTGTTTTGATAGGACAGATTTCTCAAGCATGGATGAGCCAAATGAGGAAATTCCTCACGCTGAATTCAGGCAAGCAGCAACTGCTCGTGGATTAATCACCTGTTACACCAGTGACAATACCAAGGTGTCCAGCCACAGGTGAACTGTAGATAAGTTTCCCTTCCTGTGTGACCTATCACAGCACTTGCAGCAAGTTCTAGAAAGGAACTAAAGAGCTTATTGCTGAATTTACTGGAATTCCAGGAATTCAGTGGAATTCCTGACAATTCCAACTTCCTAGGGCCAAAATGCCTTCAACAAAATTAACGCCATAAATAAGAACCTAAACAAGCAAAGTTCAGATGAAATATCCTCCCTTATTTACTGTAAGAGACTGTCATTAAAAATGAACAAATTTGTGCAAGTTTCCAGAACTCAGCTGTTTTAAGCCATGTACAGTTCACAAAACACACTCCTATGACAAAACTTAATTTCACCATGCCCAAATGCTGTTCTTGCACAAGAATGACAACAACAATATCCTTCATCTCACCTGTTCAAGGCAGCTTGGTCAACCTGATGTGTGCAAGAGGTAACAGCTTAAGAGACAACTAGAATATTCTGAGAGTGTCTAAACACTACTTGAGGATATTTGGGTTACTTACTTTGAGTTTTAGCAAGAGCTGCTCAACTGACAAGGTCCCTGACTGTCCAGCAACAGTGCTCGTTCTTGATCTCAACTGTGGTGAAGAAAAGCACAGAGTTACTATTCAGCTCCAAAATTTAAGGATTTCAAGCAAGATAAAAGGACACTTCATGTGTCAACTTGCTGTCCAGACTATAATTACTAACTCTAATTCCAGAAACAGTGTTAGAAACAATCAGTAACAGATAAAGTGAAATTTCTTTCTGCTGCAACACCTAGGAGTAGCAGCATGGGGAAGAGACAAGACAAACAACAACCTCAAACAACCCTAATGCTAACTCACATTTATTCTGGACTCTGCTTTCAGAGCTACAGACTCCTGGGACTGAAGGGAAACCACCAGCTCTTCATCTTCCAGGGTATTCCAGTCCACAAACGAGGACACATCTGGGAACACACAAATGAAACTACATTAAGATAACACTTACAGCACATTTATTGAAGTATGAACATTGCATCAACTTCTTATGGCAATAGATACTTTCTAAACTATAATGCAAGTGATTTTATGCCAATTTTATTTGCCAGTTTTATTTCAGCAGCGGGTAATTTTATGACCTTTTTTATACTGTTTCTCCATTTTGCCTCTGGGAGCAAGAAAAGTAAGTTATTACACAATTTATCCTGAGCATTACTTGCAAAGTTTTACCACTGCAGTGTTTAAAACCACTATGACACTACAATTTTAAACTGAAGTTCACAAACTAAGGTTTGACATTGCCCTACCCAACCACAAACTCTTCAAAAATGCTTTTTAGGAAACAGCACTTCACTTTGTTCTCAGTATTCATCACCAGCATTCCAGTGCTCTCAGTAATTCCAGTATCTGAATGACAACCCAGGTGAAGTGAAGCCACAATAAATTCAGACATTTGTGTGCTTTGGTGTTCCCAGCACCAGTAAATTTAGCAGCCAGAAACACAGTACAGTGTGAAGTTGCTTCAAGCTGTTTAGATTCAATTAATTAATTTTATAGGACTGTATTAAAATAATTTTTATACAATTTCAGACATCTTCCTTTTATAAGATCTTTTCACTGTAATTGTAAAAAAAAAAAATCTTACCAAGGGTTTGACTGTCCTTGAGCTTTCCCACAGCAGCTGCCAAGGATGATGTTTCACACTTGTACATAATTACAGTCAGCACTTTCCCATGAATTAGAAAAAATTTTTCCTCATAACACCATAACTGCAAAATATTAAAATGTATCATAAATGAGATAAGCAGAAAAGTGAGTTCCTGCACTCATGTGTAACTCCTTACTGTAAACTTCAACTGGAAGTCAGTGATCAGATTATTTTGAATGATTTTCGGTAGATTTAACATTTGTTAGCAGCAGAAATTACAAGTGTTGAGTATTTTTCCAGGTATATCCCAAAATATAGTGGTTGCTCCAAGGCATTAAGTCCTCTGAAAAAATCACATTTTAAGTTTCCTCTTGTGCAATTTTAAGACAAAAGTAGAAAGCTGCTCTGGTTCACTAGTGCATTTATTCCTTAGGTGTCATTTCACTTATTTGACTCTTGAATAGCTTGAAGTGCTGCTCAGGTGTTCACAGAATCATCTAGTTCTTCAACTGCAAATTGCCTGAACAGAACAGACACTGCTGGGTTTTGTGTTCAGTGATTTTATTCACACCAAATAATAATGATCATGAGAAGTGACCAAGTACTAAACGATCACAGAAATTCCTACAGGCCACCACTCTCCCAATGAATATTCTGAAAGAAAGTGCTCATCAACTGGTCACTATTAATTCTGCTGCAGAAGTTGCAATTACTGCTCCTCCAGCAGCAGCAGAGCTCTGCAGCCCCACAGTCCCTTCCCTGCTGTCAAATGCACAAAGCTCAAGGACCCCAAAGCCATGGCTGAGCTTTACCTGGCCGCTGGTCCCCATGGGCAGCTCCTTTGAGGTTTGCAACGTCTGAAATTTTGTATTCCATATTGTCAGAAGCTCTGAGGGAAGTAACAGATAGGTAAGACCAAAAAGCAACATAAGCACTATGCTTGCCTTCGCTACTTCCAGTTACAAACGCTGGAGGAAACAGAAATAACTGTTTCAAAACAGCCCAGCCAGTATTTAGCACTAGCAATTACATCACTCAGGTTAAATCTCAATTCAAAGAAAAGTTGGTTTTCCAGGGAAGAGTTTTAAACCAGAGGCTGGGACAAGAGGGACAGCACAGCTTTCCCACCCAGTGCTTTGCCCAAGGAAACTTTAGGCCTTACAATATCTTAATATGATTTTTCAAGTTACCGTTGGGTTTTTGCCCAGGTACAGGCAGACTGCCCAACACTGCAATGTGGTCTTTGTCCAGGACAACTAAAGATGCTACTTTCAGAGCTGCTCCAGATACTGAAAGTTTTAGTAGTAGTGACTTGGACAAAATTTCTTCTTTCTTTTCTTCTTCAGTATCTCGTTGTAGAGGTATCAGAGCCTGGTATACACAGCCATTGGAATCTGTCAAAAGAAAAAATTACCACTCATTTCCAGGTTTTTTTTTTTGTGGAAAAAATCTGTTTGATATCATATGGCAAAAGGACATTAAAAAAAACCCCCACAATATCCAGTTAAGCCAAAAGAAGAATTAATGCAGGATATTTAAGGGACTTAAAATCCAAAGCAGCAAAATAAAAGTACAGTAATAAAGGTGCAGTGAGATCTGCAGGGTACAAGTGATCACAGGTAGGAACAGTTGGCCTTTGCAACCATTAAAGTACCAGGAATCTTTCATTACTACTTGTAGCTGTTTTAGAAAGTTTAAAAAACTAAAAATATTAGACAGCATTTAATAAAAATGAACATTTGATGCCCTCTCATACAGTTCTTTGCTTCATTATCACAAGCCATTACCAAACAGAACTTACACAAACACAGAAGTGTGACAGTTTGGTTTGTTATATGTGCTGTGAAACGCAGTGGCATGGCTAGTTTCTGTCGTTCAAGCTTGTATTTGTGTAGCACACTCAGCTTAGGTTTCTGTACGTAGACAAAAATATCCTTATCCTAAAATAAAAAAAGAAAATTTTCCCTTAATTTACACAAAGAAGATATAACAAATTCAGGTATCAGTACTGCTTAACTTTGGATGTTGTGAAAATTAGGAAATTGTGTTTTCTATAGGACATACAGAATCATTTGGAGTAGTCTGCAGACTAACAAGTAAACAAAATTCTTATTTGATGCAACAAATGGATTTACAGGAAGAAGCATTTGCATAAAGACAGATTCATGTATAATTCCTTTTTTAGAAACATACATCCCATTCAATAGATCTTCACAATGAGTGATGAAGAGTCACAAAATGTCTGCTGTACTTCATCTTATTAATTGTTCTCTGCAGTTCTAGGAGCCCAGCTTCTCAGCCCTGAATGCAACACAACTTCCATTTAACTGCTGTGCTGATGAAATCAGGATAATGATTCCACTGAAAGCTCTTAAAATCAAATGAAAGCAGTAATGGATTTTGAAAAAAGCACTCAGGTCTCCTGCTATGAGAATTTTTACAACAAAAAGTATTTAACTCACTTTCTCAGTAGTGAAAATTATGACAGGTTGTTGGCCGTCCATAAAAGCTCCACTCCACCTAAAATCAGAAAGCTGGATGAACATCCTCCAAATTCTAGGTTTACACATAAATCCATATCACTACACACTAGGCACCTTCTGATTTTTAGGAAATCTCTATAAATAACTCTAAGATTTTAAAAACAAAGCGTCAGGAGAAAACACCCAACTCCATGATCTCAGTCTTTGATTTTCCCCCATCTCCTCAAAAGAGGGAACAACTTTGATCATCACAGTCATTTCCCCCGAGCAAGAATCCCCACAAAGCGGCAGCACTCACCTGATGACCTCAGCTGAGATGAGGTTCTCAATCTCCTGCTGAGGGGCTTCCAAGAGCACATCCAGTGTCCGAACCGCCCCTCCCCTGAACAGCACCAGCGGCCCGCCCTGGGGAAGGGAGTGGATCCTGTACACGTCTGCTGAGAGCTGCAAGAACAAAAACAAACTCTGTTCTCTGCTACACTACCCTGAAAACTGAGTGTTTACTCATCACTCTCACTTTTGCCAATAAACTTTTAACAGAAAAATTACAAATCTTTAAGACGCTTAGAAACGTAGATCTGAACGTTGCTGATTTGCTGAAATGCCACAAATAATGCAAATCACTACCCAAAAAAAAGCCAGGAAAATGTCCTGATGAGCATCACATCCCTGAATCACATCAGAAAACACATAACAGGGTCAGGAGGTCATACAGCTGTGCCACAGCAACACACAAAGTGATGTTTAACACATCAACCAGCAGAACATAAAGATCTGTAACTGAACACAACTAACCATATTTAGTAAGTCCTCAGAAATGCTGGCCTTGGCATAAAAATCACTTTAAGAGAAATACTCTGATTATAAAGTCAGAATACTTGCAATACTCCACAACATCATGAAGCACAAGGTAAGCTAAAATGCAATATGGCCAAGACTATGAAAATTGAAGCAGTTTTTCCCTCCACAAAGATCCAAAACACATAAAAGAGAACAGCTGAAGGAGACTTACTGTTGCTTTAAAGGCTTTGTCCAAGTTCATGTCTTCATTCTTCCATATTCTTAAAACCTTTAAGAGAAGCATAATTTTTAGGTAAAACAGTAACACACAGACTTCTCAGCACTCAAAATACCAGCAACTGCAACAGGACACAAGGAGCATTCATAGTAACCTGAGTGGGAACTGCCCCAGGGGGGAGCAGAAACAGCAGGAATGGAAACCAAGCTCAGAAATCCTGAGCTGGAAAGAAAGGACAGGAGAGAATAAAGAAAAAGACACAGCAGAACTCTGGATTAAAGTAGATCAGAGTGATGGAGACAGGCGAGATACAGATGGCCTGATTTTCACAAGCAATGCAAGGCCAGGAGTGATACTTCATCAACAGCAGTGAAAAGCCAAAGGCTCAGCACGACCTAAGCAAATGCTACATAAACACAAGAGAAACTTTAAACTGCGAAACAAGAGCAGGAAAACAAGGATGGGGGCGTGAACTACTGTAACCATTCCAGTACAGTGACAATGCAGCTGTCAACGCCACCCAGGCTGCAACAGAAGTAACTCATCCTTCGGGAGTGCCTGCAGCAGGCACTGAGCATCTCCGGTGTCTAAGGGCCACCAGACCACGGTGCTCAGCACAGAGGCTGCTCAGGTCACCAGAGTGCTGAGGGCACCCCACGCTTGCAACCAGAAATGTCACACTGCTGATTGTCCCTACCTCCATTCCCTCAGGAGGGCCCACCCACTCCTTCTCCCCTCTCTAGAAGGATGAAGGCTCTCACCTTGTCGTCGTGAACTGCAATGTACTCATGGGTTTCAAAGTTGCACACCACAGGACAGGTGAGAATCTGCCCATGTTTAACTGACCAACAGCCCAGGGGCTTCTGATCCGAAATCTACAGTCAGAACAAAGACAATGCAACATGTAACACCTGAAAGACCACTTTGGGCACTTCTCTCATGACAGAAAGGAAATGCGAGGCAGCCACATCTGACCTGAATCAGAGTGTTAAAATATGGAAAGTGCTTTACTCAGAAATTCCTCTTGAGCATTCCTGTTTACACCTCCAACACCAACAATTTCAGAGTAACAGGAAAGAACTCTACATTAATTAGATTTCTTTTCATGTAGGAAATAACTTTGATCTATAACAGTCTGAAGGGGTTATGTCATGAAGCACAGGTACAAGGCATGGCTTTTTCAAAGGGCAAATACTCGTTTTATCACCAGTGTGATTTGTTTTTACTGACTAACAAAATCACACAGACTTGTGCTTTTCCCCTTCCTATTTCCAGGTGAGTTGTTGAGACCAAGAGCAGTCTGAGCTCCTGTTCTGTGTGATTCACAGCCCAGGGCACTGGAGCCCCTCTCCTCCCTCCAGAGCACACTGGGTGTGTTTACAACACTTGTGCTGTCACATACGGTCTTGGCAGTGGGAATGAACAACCCGAAGGAGGTTGTATCATCAACCCACTTAGATCCTGGCATGGTTTGGGTTGGAGGGGACTACAGACCACCAAGTCCCACTCTGTGCCATGGCAGGGACACCTTCCACTGTCCCAGGGTGCTCCAAGCCCTGTCCAACCTGGCTTGGACACTGCCAAGGATCCAGGGGCAGCCACAGCTGCTCTGGGCACCCTGTGCCTCACCACCCTCACAGGGAACAAATTTTTCCCAATATCTAATCTAAACCTACTTTAGACCCATTCCTGCTTGTCCTGCCACGACAATCCCCAACCGCGGGGATGTGACAGTCAACTAAACACACAAACTCAAATACTTGCCTTTAAGTTTCTTATTATGGTCTACTGAATAATAGAGACCAGAACACATTTTCATTTTCAGGTGCTGCAAACTAAAGTCTTCCTGCTGCCAGCAGGACGGCAGCTGACACTGAGCTCAGAGCCCAGAACCCGGCACTGAGGGAACACGTTGCTGTGCCTTCGGGAAAGTATTTCTTGGGACGGGGACGGGAGAATATCAGCTATCAAAAGGAGAGATACACGCACAAGCGCCCGAGCCGCCGCGCGTTCCCGAGCAGAGGGAGCGGAGCAGCGGGGAGCGCAGGGGGCAGAGCACGGCCGGGCCGGGCTGGCGGCAGAGGACAGCGGGGCCGGGCCCGGGCAGGCCGGGGAGAGGGAATGCGGGAAGCAGCGCGGCCCCGGCCCTGCCCGGCACACCCCCCACAACGGGGCTGCCCGGGGCGGCGCCGCCGCCCCCCGAGCACGCGCGCGCGGTACCTTGAAGAGCGTGGCGGCGCGGCCGCGCTCGGTGAGCAGCACGAGGTCGCGGTCCGGGCCCGGCTCCAGGCACAGCCCGGGGCCGGGGCCGCCGCCGCCGGGGCCCGGCCCGCGCAGCGTGAAGCTCTCGCACAGCGCCGCCATCTTCACCAGGCCCGGCTCTCGCGAGAGTTGGCGCGGCGCGCGCGCGCGCCCCCGCGTGACCCGGCCGCTGCGCTCCGAAGGTGTCCGGTGCTCTGAGGGCTGAGCGCTGAGGAGAGCGACAGCAGATGGCCGCGGGACAGCGCCCCCCAGCGGGGCGCTCAGGGGCCCGCGGGCACTGCCCTCACTGGGGGTCCCCGGGGCCCTCCGAGCCCATCGCTCCCCCGGCGGGGCCGGCCGTGCGCTAATGAGGGCTCAGATTTACCTAATGAATGAGTCACGTGCGGATGAAAGGGGTCATGTCGGTGGTAATCAGGGTCACGTGTATGCTAATGAGACCGTCACGTGCGCGCCAGTGTGCCCGGGGACGGGCGGTAAAGGCTCCGCTGGGGCGGGGCTGCCCCGGGCCCGGGCCCCGTGCGGCACGGGGGGAGTGTCCCCGGGGCAGCGGCACGGGGTGGGGGGAGAGGGGGGATTGTCCCCGGGGCAGCACGGCCCGGCGCCGCTGACAGCGCAGCCGCAGGGTCCCATTCGGGTTTTCACCGCTGTGTATTTTCCTGTGCAGGGCGTTCAGTGTGCGCAGAGCTCGGTGCGGCCCTGCCCGGGAATAGGAGCCCGTCCCCGGGGCAGCACGGCCCGGGCCCGCTGACAGCGCAGCCGCAGGGTCCTATTCGGGTTTTCACCGCTGTATTTTCCTGTGCAGGATGTTCCGTGTGCGCAGAGCTCGGTGCGGCCCTGCCCGGGAATAGGAGCCCCGGCTGTGAGCGGTCAGTGCGGGTCGCTGGGCGCGGGCGCTGCCCCGGCTGCTCACGCACAGCTGGCTCCGCGGTGAGCCGAGATGTCCCCGGGGCTGCCCGGGCTCCGTCCCCTCTGAGCCGTGCAATTTCCAGTGTAAAACACTTCCAGTCCCCTCTTTGTTCCCCCTGCCCTGTCCCACGCTGCCCGGAAGCTTTTCCCTCCTGAATGAGCGCTGCCGTTCCTCTGGAGCAGGGACAGCTTCGTTTCTATGGAGGAAGTCTCTGTGTAAGAGCTTATAAAGAACCCTTGTGCAAGGGAAACTTCTGTTGACTGAAATGAACTGACTTGGAGACAAGCCTGAGAGGATTCGAGTGGTCTCTTTTCCAGTATTTTCCAGTTGCTTGGTACAACACTGAGCTGCCAAACCCTGCATAAAGAATTAGATTCCCCAATGAAAAACTTCCTTGTCGACCAAATGGCCATTTACAAGTGAATGGGCTAATGCCAGACCGATGGGGCACCTGCCCCGGTAAAACCTTTACGGAGCTGGAGCACAACAGAACCCAGGAGAGGCTGTAAGTGCTTTAAATTTTCCTCACAAAGTTAATTCTTTGTGCTATTTAATTTTGAGGAAGTGACTTGCAGAGCTGGGGTAGAAATGTCGATGTTACTTGTTAATGAGGAGGTTTCTGCTTACAGGAGACCCAGTAAGAGAAAACAGCCACGGTTGTAAAGAATAGTTGTTGGTAGTTTATTTACAACAAAATGCAACGAAAAATACAATATTAAAAATAATAAATAACTTGGAAAAAACCAGAAACTAAGTGATATGAGAAAAATGACAGTCAAATTCTCCTGCTGAGCCTTGCACTATTGAACGTGCAGAGCAAATCAAGACTTGGTCCTTCTTTGACAGTGGTGATGCATTGCCTGATGTTGCCATCAGTGCTCTAAATAAAAAGAAATTAATTACTGGACATAACAGAATCACGTGGAATTATCACAGAAATGAAATAAACCAGTAAAACCTGCTTCAGTGACACCACAAAACTACAGGAGATCATAATTCAATGACCATGCTGTTCATTTAAAGCAAAACATTGTTAGACTTATTTAGCAATTTTAACTTACACATAGAAAACCAAGTCCAAACAATGGCAACAGAAAATCTCCTATTGACAAGATTTTGAATTCTCTCTTACTGCACTCACTAATTCATAAAAAGCATATACATTTGGCTTATTTCAAAGGATAACACATTGTTTTGAAGTTATAGTGCAGCAAGCTTCAAAGCAGTTTTAGCAAAGTATAGCGGTCTTGTTACAAACTGAAATTCAAGGAACAAATATTTCAGTTTCAAAGTCTCTACAGCAGCAATTAATGCAAATTGGCTACTAGATGTCACAAAATCACCTTCCAGAATAATCAAAAAAGCCAAAGAAGAAGGTCAAATAGTTTCTTTCCATAGTATTTATCCAGTCCTTTACAAAATTAACCATTACATTCATAAGAAATCCCATTAAGTACATGTTTCAGGAACAACTTTTGTAGGTCCCTCCCTTTTTGATTTTTTGGGAGATTGACCCTTCTGAAGCTGCACTGAATTGCCAGTTGTTTTGTAATGATTGTTCCATCCAAAAACCACAAAAGTAGAAGCAGAGCCTGGAGGTTTTCATAGAAACCTGAACAAACTCATCACAGTTTTTGCTCTGTACTGTATTCTCCTTGATAAAAAATTCCTTGCCAAGTCCTAGCAGAGCTGCATCACGGGGTTCTTGTCACTGTGGCAGAGAAGAGGAACACAGGCTGTGTTCACCAAGCTCTGAGGCTGCAGCCAGTAAATAATCACAGCGTTTATTTTTGCAAACAAAGTGAGGAACACCTGCAAAACTCTCGATTTTAATCCTAATAAACGTGTCTGAAAACACAAGAGTAAAGGGAAAAATCAGCACTGAAAACAACCCCTTCTCCTCAAGGTGTTACACTGATATACCCAGACCTTCCTTCTCATTTCATTTAATTTCATTTCATGTGTGCCTGCTGGGAATATTCTAGAAAAAGCTATCTTACCCTAAATAGCAGCCAACCAAACAGAAAAAGGCATTTAAAGATCCTGTCATTGAGCAGATGGGTGATGACTGCTGGGGAAAGCAAGGCAGAACTCAGCACTAGGCACTTCCACAATCAGTGAAAACCTGGGGTATTCTTATCCAAAGCAGGGACACATTACAGATCTTTTAATTGGCCTTGATTGGGCAGCAGCACAGGCAGAGTGGCTGCTCCTGACCCTGCCAGTGTGGGGACACTCAAGCTGGGCACAGCAGGGAGAGTCCTGTCACTGACACTGCAGGATCTGTCTCTCTGTTACATCTCCACCAGGCAGATGTTCCAATCTGTCCTGTTTAATGATTTTCACAAATTACTTGTCCCCAAACCTACTTAATATAACGATCAATGTATTGGAAATCCGTCAGTTAAATACGAGTAAAGATGGAACTGCTGTGGTCTAATTACCTGTGTCAAAGCCAGATTCCAAAATGTGAATAGAAACAGTCACGTGTGAGCACCAGGACACTGAGCAGAGCTGAGCAAGTTTGTCTTGGACAGATTAAAAATCCACTGAAACAGACTTTCAGGTGGAGCAGACCTGAACTATTTCTGTGTGGGCCAAAGTCAGGCAATGAGAAAAGAACCAAAATATGTTTTATGTTTTTAAAGGTTTCCCTTTGCTGCCAATGTTCCAATGTTGATACTAAATAGTAACAATAAAAAATTACACATGATCCTAGGATTCCATAATGTGCACCCTTGTTAAGCTGAAATCATAAGCCAATGTAGGAAAGTTTTGTTTTCAGTATTACAGCAGCTTCTTTTTAAACAAAACAGCATCACCCATCAGGTCAGCCATGAGTCAGAATTACCAGCTCTGTGAAGAAAAGCAAAGCCAAGCATGGACAGGACATAGGAAAATGCAGGAAGTCAGACCACAGCAAGCCTGCAGAGAGCTCCTGGATTTTGCTGGCTGCAGGATTTTCACTATCAGACAAATGAACACTTGTTTCAGTGCAGGTTAGCAGTGGAATTACTTCTGCTCCAAAAACCTCCCCCTAAATACCACTCATTCCACAAAACTTGTGCTGCAGCTGCAGCCAGCGAGGAGCTCAGTGCATTTCAGCCACTGTGCCCCAGGTTTGGGCACCCCCAAAGTCAGTGTTCAATATTCAGGGACAGCTCAGCTCTGGAGAAGTTTCTTTTTTCCTCCATCCATGAACTGTCAGTGGTGGCACAAAGTATCACCCACTGGGATCATGATTCAGGTAGGAGCTGTCATTCCCTGGGAATTGAACAGTGGCTCACTGATGTCACCAAGAGAAGGAGCTGCAGCAGCCATCGAGCAGCAGCTTGTGTGGAGGAGAGCAAAGTGTCCCACAGAGGGGGCAGCGAGGAAAGGGTCTCACCCAGTTCATGCTTTGAAGAGGAAGGAAGGAAGAGACCACTCCTGCCATTTATTTTTCTCCTTCTCCCACCATCTACACTTCCCTCTGGGAAACATCCTTGTCAGCAATTGAATTCCTGAGATTGAGGAGTGATTTCACACACACACACACCAGGAAGACCACTTCTGGTTCCTCGACAGCACCCACGACTGGTTTGCTTTTTGAAGTGACTGATTTTGTCCCCCTTCCCCAAAGGAGGCAGTGCCTGGACCCAGCTCTCTGTCAGATTGTTCTGTTTAGCAGAGATGCGAGGCAGGAAGAAAAAGGAGTCTCCTGTTTTCTTCCCTTTGCATTCAAGGTCTCCCAGCCTGACTACTGCTCTTCATCCAGCGAGGAAAAGACAGAATTCATTGCTTTTGTTTCTCAACTGGCACAATTCAGCTTTTTCCAATGCCACAGAACACCACTGATGAACACCAACACTCTGAGCTCACAAAAGGACAGGGGAGAGCTAGTAAAATACATTATCTACAAGAAATAGGTGGTTCCTGTTACAAATTCTGTGCAAGGTAGAAATAGTTCAATGGCCTCAAAGTCAGTATAATTAATTACAACTGGGGCTTTGATACAGTGATATTTTAGGTTTGAAAATATTTGTGTTTCGTGTTTTAGGCCCCAAATCCTGAGTCATATTAAGCAAAATGTGGATCTGTTGGTGTTCAAGTACAATGAGTTACAGGTCAAAGGTTTATGAACACAGGAGAAGCCTGAGAGTGGGAAAGATTTTAAAATTTGTTATAAAAGAAGAAAATGGAAGGGTTTTTTTTTTCTGTTAACCCTGCATTCTAGTTGGCACTACTTTGCCTCAGAAGTCCTTGGCAGATTTACTTAATACCTACTCCTAATTATAAATGCTGTGACCTAGATGAGGGTTTGCAGGCAGAATACTGCTACTGAAAGATTGGTTTTCGTTTATAGCATCCCCTCAGACTGTTCCATTGGTGTCAGTAAGATGCACCATATGGCTTGAAACACTACTTTAGGAATATATAAACTACTTTCTCTTGCATGCACTTTTCAGAAGGTTTTAAGGATCAAGTCTGAGGAAAGGAGTCATCTTTCCACACCGGAAAGATTATCTGAAACAAACAAAAAAACCAACCAACAAACCACCACGACCTTGGTAGCAATTGAGTTATGTCACTCTTCCTGTGGCAGACATGGCTTATCAGGAGGAAACATGCAGGGTTAATTTAAAAGGTTTTTTTTGATGGATCTGGAAGAGTGAGAGTTTCTGGAGCAGACTTTTTCCGAGGCCGATCTTTGGGAACTGTTAGGAAGTCAGGAGCATCTGTGGAGAGAGGGGTTGATGGAGCACTAGATGGAGCACTGCGGGTTGAGGAAGGCGTGGAAATGCTAGAGATAGATATTGCCGGTGGGAAAATCCCAATCTTCTTGTTGGTAGCTTCCTGAGTGGCTCGTTCAAACTCTCGGACTTCATCCATTGTCATGTCTTCAACGAGAAGGAATGAAAGACAAAGGCATGTTAGAATAATTTCAAATAATCACTTCATTAACTCAGTTAAACTACTTCCATCCAAATCCTAAAGCAGGGAATGACTGCTTATCATGCATCTCATTAAGAGATTCTCCGCATGAGTGCCTCCGCATTGTGGGGCGCTGACTGGAGCACAATGAACACAATGTAAAGGAAACAAAGTTTTAAGTACATTAATCACGTACTAATGGTTCCTCTACCTGGGTCTGAGCCGAATAAAGATTGCCGCCTCTGGGATTGCTGGGAAAATCCAGCTATTCCACAGGCAACTAAAGAGTACATTTGGATACAGTCAGCAGGTAGCATTTTTCAGAACTTCAAACAAAATACAACTGAAAGAGGGTTAAGTTTTTCATTTAGATTATAAGGCCAAGTGGGCAAAGGCTTGTCATGGTTTGTTCATCTGCTGTAATTATCAAGGGATGAAAAATTCTCTCTCCTTCCATTGACTTGAGCTGCAGCTTCATGAAAGGACCGAGCCTGTTCTGCTTTTCCGCTAATAAAGCCTAAAGAATTCGCTCTCCCTTTGCAAAGCCGCACCATTCAAAGCCATGCTTCCAACTTTCCACCCGCAAACTGCACTTAAACCCCTGCGGGCAAGTGACAGATGCACGGCTCAGTTCCCTGCGACCCGAGGGAAAGGTGAGGGGCTAAGGGCCCCCGGGAAAGCCGGGCGGGCAGGCCGAGCCGGAGGTGTCCCGGTGCCGCCGAGCCCCGCAACAGGGCAGCGCCATCCCAGCGCCATCCCAGCGCCATCCCAGAGCCATCCCAGGCCATCCCAGAGCCATCCCAGAGCCATTCCAGCGCCATCCCAGTGCCATCTCTGAGCCATCCCAGCGCCATCCCAGGCCATCCCTGTGCCATCCCTGCACCATCCCAGCGCCATCCCTGCACCATCCCTGCACCATCCCAGGCCATCCCTCTGCCATCCCAGCACCATCCCTGCACCATCCCAGCGCCATTCCAGGCCATCCCAGCGCCATCCCAGCACCATCCCTGCGCGGAGCCGGGCGTGCGGAGCCTCTGATAAACCCCAGCGAGTGACATCTGCTACCGACGGGGAAGTTGAGCAGAAAATCAGCAAGGCTCTTCTGGAACCTGCTGCTCCATGTCTGCAGTGCCTGCAAGACGCCCACCGAGCCAACTGAAGGCAGTGTTAAGATTTTTGCTGAATGTCAAGTTAAATTCATCAATTTGAAGTATTCCATTAGACCATTTATAGATTCTTTGAGCCACATAAGCTCAAAAATGTAGAACTAAAACCAGTAGTATTTTAATCAATTAAGGAGTCTCACATATTCGAGTGTCTGAAGCACAGGACTGGCAGTGGGGATTACCAAATTTGTGACAAAATCCCATCCTTTCAGGGCACTGATGCTTTTTACCCCTGCCCAGCTGCAGACGTGCACCCTGGCTGTGGAAGCAGCTTTCTGTTGTGTTCCAACATCACATGAGATAAACAAAAGCGTGCATGGTGCTGGCTGCCTTCGCTCCCCCCTGCACCACATTCCAGGGACCTCTCCAGCCCACACTGGCATCATTAGGAGTGAGAATCTGCCTGTTGCAGATCTGACAGAAGTGCTGGCAATAAACAGATGGTCCCAGGAGAACTGTACCTACTCATGTTGGAGAGAGGTTTGAACCTGTTTTGCTGGTTTACATTTCATTTCACACCCTGTAACAGTGGGTGAGCATTTCTGCACTCAAAGTGTCCCAAATCCTGCTGAAATCACAGGGATTTTGATTGAGGAATTCTGTATGACAAGAACCAAAAGCTGTCTTGGACAAATGAAGGGGACAGGAAGGTTTCTCAGTGCACTGTCCTTTGAAGTGAAGTCTTACTGAATGGAGCCTCCAAGACTCTTTATTTTCAATTCAGACATTAAACACTTCAATTGACTTCTACTTTTTAACCTATAGTTTCTTTAATTTCCTTCTGCTGTAATATACACTCAAGTAAAACAGCCCTTACACTGAGCTAGGAAGACTCAGGTTCACTTTCTTTTCTTTCATTGATAACAACTTCTGTTCTGACCTCAGTGACAGTTTTTCCACATGGAAACTACAGGTGGCAGACTTCATTCAGAACCAAATCCTGAAGTGTAGAGCCAAAATCTGAACTAATTCTCTGCTAAGGAGTAACCTTGATGTCAGTGAAGCTGCTGTGTCACTAGCACAAGAATTACCTTCCCAGGGGCTATGCAGACAACATCTCCTCAGGCTGGGGCCAGCTGGCACTGAGCAAGAGCCAAGGAAAGACTTGGAGCCCTTCAAGCCTTGCCCCACACTGACTTCATGACTAAAACCAGCACTGAGATCCACAGCACCATTAGCAGAAATAAAGGAATAATGACATTTCAGGAGCAAGGGCCACTGGATCTTCTCAATTTGCAAAGAGTATCAGCCTCTAAATTTAGACCTCTAGTTGTGGAGCCCAAATTAGGTAATTAAGCACTTTATGAAATCTCCAGATTTTGAACCAGAGAACTTACACATAAACCTGCCCTTTTCCATAAACTGTTACATACTTCTGAAAATACTTCCCACCTTGTTGGTAGCTAACCAATGATGGTGACATTAAAGTTACCTTGAAAAGAGTGAATAACTCATTAGACTTTTTTTTTCCTGGTGAAAGAAAGAATCTTGTGAGTCCCATAGAAGTTTTCCACTCCCCATGTTCTTGGCTTTTTGACTAGACCACTGTGAACTCCTGCATTTTTTAACTATTCAAAGAATAGAAAGTAAAAATCCTCTTTAACCTCCTCTTTATGCATCCAACTGAAATTTGAGCATTGTGTTTTCCTGGAAGCCAGGGAGCTGTATATGAGCCCAACCCCACCCTCCCTTACATAACTGGCAGGGTTACAGTGCAAACCAAAGGTAGGATTGCACTTCATGGAGAAAGATTCTGTTCTTATTGAAGCAAAACCTCCCCAGAATTCCACTGACTGATCAGCAGTTGGTTGCTCTTTTCTGGTCTGTGCAGATGCATTGGCTGAGGATGGGCAATATGTTTTAAAAATTAGACATACTCTTGCTTTGGCATGGCTCTCTATTTCATCCACAGTAGATGAATGTTGGTTGCAAACTTTAATGTTGGTTTTTTCATGCATATTTTTCTCGTATTCTCGAACATCATCCATAGTCATATCTGTAAAAAGTTCAAAATTGTTGGCATTTTCCATTGATTCAGTGCAAACTTAATTTTTTTTTTCCTAAGGAGAAGGTTCTAGGAACACAAAGTCTTTCAGCAGAAGCCAACAAAGGATTTTTTAAAAAGCAAGGAGCAACTAGCTTTATGAAAATTGCCTCATAAAGGTAGTTGTGTCAGCCAAGGAAGGTGCGAGGTTAAGTCAAAGGGAGTCAGAGAACAGGAAGGAGTGGAAATTTTTTAGGAGTATCCGTGTGATGTAAGGTAGGCAGGAAGTACTGAAGTGCAGGCCTTGACAAAGGCCAAGATCTTCTAAAGAAATTTTAGAAGATCCTTTGGAACAAAGGATAGATACAGAAATATTAGAAATATTTACTTACCTTTCCAGCACTTGCAAAAAGAGTTTTTGTTAACTTTGCATTGTACATCTCATAACCAGAAAAACTGTTAGTGTTAGAGCCCACACCAGTTTAGATTCCAGAAACTAACACTTAAACTGGCAAGTGAATTAATAGTGACAAGTTAATGGCTATGTAGCCTCAAGCAATTGAATGAATGATGAAAATTAGAAATATCCCTCAAATGAGGCTGATCCCAGCAGCAGGATCACTGAGCACTGCCCAGCCTGCTGGGGGTGTCACCCAGCACAGCCTGTCAGGTGTGGAACACCAGGCAATGGTTAACACCTTTAACAGGATTTGTCATCAACCACAAGTCCAGCAAAAACATAAAGAATCCAGTAATTGACCTGTGATTCTTCTGAGTATTCCCATGCTTTCCATAAATGCACTGGGGAGTGAGGAGTCAGAAGAGGAGCAGTGTCAGAGTTTGGTCTGTTCTTTACGATGCTTTGGTAGCTTCAGAGCCTCGTAAAAACAGCCACCAACTTTGGACTCAAAACACTCAAAGAGCATTTTATTAGCACAGTCTGCTTGCAACTGGGTGCCCCTTTGGTCATGCACTGTGATCTGCTCTTGGGGCTCCCATATTCCTCAAGTTTATGATGAGCCACTGGGATTTGGGAATTCTTGTATCACACCACTCCCTGTTCTGTGCTGTGAGGCTCCTGCTGCATTTTATGATGCAGCTTTTAAGGCAAGATACAACTTCAGCTGTTGTAGTGGCAGCATCATGTCATAATTCATCAGTAAAAAGAAATGCAGTCTAAAATTTTGATCAAGGAATTTGAAAAGGAAACATGGAACACCCCTAGCTCATACTCTTTCAGTCTTTTACTGTTGTCTGGAATGAGAAACAAGCTCAGAAGCTGTGTCAGTAACATGCTGGGATGCACTCTGCCAAGCACAGAACATGCTCTTTATTAGTAAGTAACACTGAGAAAATAGAATTTCTTAATAATAAAGCTAAGTAGACTTTAGTAAATTAAATGACAAAACACATTCATACTTACAGGGTCAGTAACAGCAACCAGTCATTAACATAACACATTCTTTATTACACTGATTATTTGATTCAGTTTAGCTGACTACCATAATCTCCAGGTCTTTCTCAAACTTTCATTTCAAAAGGTGTTAATAGACACTTAAAAATATATTTTCGATGCTAGATTATTATATCTATTTTATTAAGCCCAGATTTTTATGTTTTGTACTTAGGCTGATAATTAAGCTCTTAAAAATATACTGTATTAGTAAAAAGGCTCACTCTGACAAGGAAAATCCACAAGATAATTGTGTATCACAATATTTCATCTGTGGAAAGAATATTTTTGGTAGGGAGATTTTAGACTTAGGAGGGGAAAATTCATAGTGAAATGTTTTTGAGCTAAACCTACTTGGTATGTTTAACTTCATGGCTATTCATTTGTCATCATTATCAGTAACTGCTAAAGTGCAGCTGACACTTTGCTCCTCAGTAATATTTTCCATCTCTCACTGTATAGATATTTTGGGTAGACTGGGAGCAAATTTATGGGCTCAATTTTTACATGAAGTCAGGCTGTTTTATTTAAAGTTACCAGTTTCCCTGACTTGGTACAGGAAAATAGAATGGATTGTTCTATTTCAGGTAAAAAAAAGAAAAAAAAGAAACAAATCTAAAATTTAAAAAAAAAAAAATAGCCTTGAAGAACTCTCTCACTGGATATAAAATTCTCTCACTAATTTACAGCTATCCCAATAGAAAAAGATATTTTTAGCAGTTTCAGTATTTTTATGACCATTACAGCATAAGATTTTCATGCAGTATTAAATTTATAAGAACACTGTGATTGCAAAAGCAATTTTTTTCCTATTTCCAAACAATGAGCCCACTGAGTTGGTGGCTACACTCCAGTGCAGGGCTGTGACACCTCTGAGATGTGTTTGCAGCAATGACTGTTCCTGAGCAATGCACAATGGTTCTGAGCTCTGGTGAGAGAGATGTCCCTCACCCACGAAATGCCCAAACTGGTGTTTCCTGAAGCTTGAGGAGGGCCTAAATAAACATTCTAAATATATTGCCAAATTCCTATGGTATTTCCATGGCCTATTTCAGAGCCTGTTTTGAGAGTAGCTGTGGTGATGGATATGTCTTACAGAAAATGCATGTAAAAGGTACAAAGCCAGTGAGCTCACTTTAGACAGTGTGATTTCTGGTTTTATATTCAGATTGCTCTGTTCTGCTGGAAGTGTCCCTATTCCCACAGCTGCCTCATGGGCTCCCAACACTTTGTGCATGCAGCTGCTGCTGAATCAGACCCTGTAGGATTTATGCTCATGTACATCTTTTTCAGAAAAGCTCCATCTTTTCTTTGTTGCAATCCATATCAATAGCTTAAAACTTTCCTAAAAAGCTGGAAATGTGTTGGGTCAGAGGCCTTGGGATTTTGCAGTATGGAAATGGCTGCAAGTTAAGGCAGCCTTAAGAAGAAGTTTTGTTCAAACCTGCATGAGGTTCTCCATACAGACAACTCCTGCCTGCAGTGCAGGTCAGGGCACTGGTGCAGGTCCACTGACATGCTGGGATGGAAAGGCATCCCTGGCTGCTGCCTGAATCCCCTGGGCATCCCAGGATGCCCAGCATCCCTGGAAGGGTCCAAGGCCAGGCTGGATGGGCAGCCTGATCTAGTGGAAGGTGTCGCTGACCATGGCAGGGGGTGGAAGGAGATGATCTTTAACATCTTTAACATGGTTCCACCTCCTCCATGAACAATTCACCTTAGGACCTGACGATCCATGGAAGCAGATGGGAACCTGCAGTTAATTGTCCCAGGTTTGTGTCAGCCCCCTGAAAGGGGCTGGCTCTGGAGGACACTCACCATACCACTCATCCACCCAGGCAAACGCCTGCCGGTGACCGATCAGGAGGATGTCTCTGACCACCTGCAAACAAGGAAAGGGTTAAAGGCCTCAGCAGCAAAAAACATCTCATCTCTGTCGTTCAACAGGATTGAGAGTGAGAAACCCTCTGGCAGTTCTGTGTCTAAAAAGAAAGTAATTCTGGCTCTGAAGGGCTCCTAGTCCAGCTTCCCACTGGAACTGGATCTGTTGCCAGCACTGAATCATGGCTTTGACTAGCAAGGAATCCATTTGGGAATGTGTAGAGATTCCACTAATCTTTGGCCAATTAGACATTCTGGACCTCTTCTTTTCCCTTCTAAGTTTTTCAAACATGTAGAAGGTCAATACTATGAAAAATTTTATCACCTTGTAGTTATGCTATTCATTAATTGAATTTTTAGTAGATTGATTGGAAAACTTCCCCACTGTCTGTTTCTCAGGGATTCTTCACCTCACTGCTGTGTGTATGGGACCCCTGTGTACTCAGAAATACTTCAGCTCATACATTGGTCACAGCACTGAAAATGTTATTGATAGTTTTTCTCAACCTTAGGCCTGAGCAGCTCTGGGCTTTGTCACGTTTGTACCCAGAGTGAAGTCCTGGGCTCTGCTCCAGCTCTTTGAGACCTTGTGAGAGGTCTGAGCAGACTGGGCCGAGCTCCCAGGCTTCTCCACAGCCGTGGCCACATTCCTGTGAGTGCTCCAATTCTGCTTATGTGAAGGATAAGGAACAGCTCCTTTTTCACTGACCTTGTGTACAAATTGCTCTACTCTGGTTTGAAGTCCCCAGACTTCAAATTTCACAGTCACAAGTTTGTAGGAACACATGATTGGCTGATGGGTCTCTCTCCAGCCTTCTTTCAATTGGCCTCTCCCAGTTTTCTGTGACTTGAAGTATTTGGGATCCTGCAAAACAAAGAAAACATACAGGGAAATGCAGGAGGGGAAGCTGTGTTTGTCAGTTTGCTAAAGTAAAAGTTGTGATAAGACACAAAACATGCTAATAAACATTATGAACAAGTAATAGGAAATTGACTATTAAAATGCAGTAGGATATCCTAAAATCCAAGCCTGGCAGTGAATCAATGGCAGCATATTCTTGGAGATGCATTGACAATCATATCATCCAGGATGTCTTCTGCTGTGAGAAAATCTGTTATTGCAAGTCATTACAGTGCAGTGCACTCCAAGGGTTATTTATGGCATTGGAAAAAAAAAAAAAAAGGAAAGAAAAAAAACCTGGCTTCTTCAGAGCCTGCTTTTCCACTGCCCCTTGGTGTGAACTGCTTGTATGTTCCACCTGTGCCTGTCTCCTGAAATTGTGTCCAGTTGGAGCTTTGACACTTCAACACTGACCCTGACAATGCCACCTTCAGTTTAAGTGCACTTGTTCATCCTAAGCTAAGTAGGAAACTCCTGCAGTTTATCCATTTCTGGTTATAACTAAGTTATGAGCAGACAATGAGTAATCCCAGCTCTGTTTCTCTTTCAGTAACTGGGAAATGAAAGAAACTACAACATTGAAATTACAACATAATTTCATAAAACCATTAAAGTCATTAGTTCATCTTTTTAAAGTTTACATTCATCTGTAGTAGATACAGTTTTATCTATGAAAGTGTTATTTTCCATATTGGTTTAATTCTATTTCCCTTTATGTCCAATCCTGCTAATTATATCTTGTAAATAGAAATAATTTATGGTTAAGTACTGGTTGTCAGAACTTGAAAATTATGTCATTTCAGAAAATTCATAGTGGAGCTTCTAAAATCTGTCCTGAAGAGTAACCAGCAGTGCTCAGCTGTGTTCTTTCTCCAGTGCTGAGGTCTGGGAAGATCCTTTGTAATAAAAGTAGTTAATCATGTACTTAAATAGTGCTTAAATTATGCATTAAATGGATGACAATCAGGAGAAAAACCACAAAAAATTGATAACTACTCTGATCTTCATTTTGCTTCATTCAGTGTGAATTTATGTATCACCCAGCATTCCTGTTCCCTACTGTTCAGTTATCTCTTGACTTCTGGTTTTATCCTAAACTGAAGCTCTGCCATTAAAGTTCTCTCCAAAGCTCTGATGATAGTCTTTCCTCCCTGTGAAAGTCACTGCTTTTATTGCTGACACAGGCTTTGCAAAGGGGAGACTTTGAGCTCACAGTATAATAAGGTTTCAATGTTAAATCACCATAAAAACACTTCAGCATCATCATTTATCAGAGCAACACCCCCTGTACAGCACAGCTCATGGTCACAGGCTGCTGCCAATCTTCTCACCCAGCAAAGCTCAACCACAGATGGATCTACACATTTTCTGTTTGAAAGAGCTGTTTAATAATTGATCATTGCCTGAAGCAATCAATGTAATAATAACACCAATAAAAAGAAAAAAGGGAAGAAAACATAATATTCAGAAAGACATAACATTCTAGTTGGAGGTTCCTTAAGAAAAGAAATCATTACAGAAAATATGATATCGAATATGCTTGCAAAATATTCCACTGTGAAACAAGAATCTCTAAAAAGGAAAATAGTTTCCTATAGGTCAGGGGCTGCTGTTTTTTACACACACACACAGTGCTGGTGTGATGGAGCCATTGCCTTGATTCAGCATTTCAGATACACACTTTAATAATTCTGAGTGTTGTCCTTTACAGTCCTTCAGAGATAACCAGAACTATAATGGAATAACTTCAGTGCAGTCCAAAGGGATTTAGTGTAATCAATTTGAGTCAGTATCAAATATCAAGAAATTCTAACAAAAAATGAAATAATTAATAACTGCCTTGCATCACTGCTCCTTCCCAAGTTTTATGGGTTGGGTCTGGTTTGGTTTGGTGAGTTTAACAGACAGGGGGGACAGACAAGGGGACACACAGTGGGAATCACTCTGAACTTGGCGGCCCACAAATCACCCACCAACTGTGTGGTAAATGCAACTGATCCATGACATCACTCCCAGGTGCAAATTCCCTTAAGAGCACCCAGAGATGGCACCTCTGCATCCCTTAATCCTGTCCCTTCTTCTTGAAGGACGTGAGGATTAGTCACAAATTGGCTGGAGAGCTCCACGGGAAGAGCCAGTTCAGCAACTCACATCAAACAGCTCTTGGGGAAATTCCTGCCTCTCTGGAAACATTAACATATTGATACTATAAAACTGCAGACTATGAATGGAAGCCAGGCCTCAGAGGAACAGATTTCCAGCCTGCTGTATGAAAGATCAAGGTGTTAAAGACTTTCCTGAGTGCTTGCTCAGGGAGCTGAGACTCAAAGGCTGCACAAGAGCCAAGCAGGGGGATGCAAGGCACACTGTGACATTGGGCAAAGTCACCTTGAGAATTCCAGGTCTGGGCCATCAGCTCAAAGGACACAAATGTTTGACAGAGGTGAGCTCTTGTAAGGAGCTAATATCCCTGGGCTTTAACCCAGCTGCTAAAAAATTACATGTTTAACAACATCTTGACTATTTTAGAAACACACAAATTCTGTCTCAGCAATTGCTTGTGCTATGGATCATACAAGGAAGCTTTTAGGGGAAGAATCTCTACATTCACCTCTATATTTTTACACTTTTCCTAGCTTCTGCTATTGACCACAGCCATGGGCAGCAGGCCATGCCAGAGGGACTTTGGTGGAACCAGGACTGCTCATCTTCTGCTCTTCAATGCCTGATCCAAAGCCTACTGAAATTAGTGAGAACTTGGACAAGAATGATTTTATGTGCCTTACTCATGGGTTCAAATTGCTAAATTAAGACTCACAACCTGGAATTGTTTCTGCAATTAGGCACAGAAGGTCCTTCTATAACAAAAAAAATGAAGTAGGGCTGATAATTTTCCATTAAAAGCAAACAGAAATTATGCTGGTATCCAGCACTGCTACTCTCGGCAGCACTCATGGCACACGTACTTGAAGCTTTTCTTCCTGTAACAAGAAGCTGTGCCAGCTGAACTTTGCTCTGACCTCACTTTCATGTTATTATTTAGATAATTAATTTTGTGTGTTCCTTATTTTTGCTTTTAAACACCCATGCCTTTCTTCCTAGAGAAGGCATCATCCAAAGAATACTGTGTCTATTCACTATTTTCCCCTTGATTTATCTACTGGCAAAATCCTCAATCTGTTTTAAATGTAATGGCATAGCTAAAATCTTTTTGTTTAAATAACCTTCTTGTCCTTTTATCAGACACAATTTATTAGGAAAGCCCATCTGGCAAATCCTTTTGCTAGAGGAGCAAAACCTACTCTGTATTTGCAATACATTATTGCCAGGTGCAGAGTGATTTAAAAATAGCACTTCTGCCAACAGAGCAGAAACATCATAACCCGTGAGCTGGGCTTAGTTGAGAATGAAATGTAAAATTACAATGAAATAAAAGCCTCTGTATGTGGGATATGGATTCAAACATAGCACTCTCCCAGGTTTTATTACTTAGACCACGAGTCAATGTGTTTATTGATAGAGTCTATTATTTATCATTTAACATTTATTTACTTAACTTTCCTCACGGACGTCACGGGCATCAGACGCGGAATGGTAACGCCCTTTCCAGGAAGCAAACCCAGCACTGGGTTGTTGCAATGCCTTTTCACAATTAATTCTGACCTGTTACTTTGTACTCAGAGTTAAATAATGAAATGCAATTGTTGTTTACAGAAAACCTCCAAATCTGCCTGGCACACTTGCCCTCAGCTCTGCCATGGTACCAGGCCTGATTGGAAGCTGCCACTCCACCCTGGAGCTGGCAGCACCTCCTTGTGTGTGCTGGCAGCCTGCATGGGACACCTCAGCAGCCTTGTCACCCTTCTGTCTCCCCTGGCTGCTTGTGTGGCCCTTCCAGCACGGGCAAAGGTCCCCAGGCTGAACCTGCTGCCAGAGGTGAAAGTGCACCCTGCTTGTGCCACGCATCCCGTCCTCTCCCTGGAAGTAGCCAGATGTCCCTGAAACAGATCCTTCCTTCTCTTTAATGCCTGGATTAATTTTTTCAGACTCCTATGGCAATATCATGGTGCTTTTGAAGTGCAATCATTTTTTTCCCTTTTTATGCTGAAGACCATTTAGTTTCATCTTGAATTTCAGAACCAATCATGGGTCTAATACCTGTCATCTGGCATGTCAGCATCAGCTGTAGTTGCTCCATTTTAGATTTCAGCTTTTATAGCCAGGGCTCGGGAAAGATTTATTGATGTAGAGATGCTATCATAGACATTTATGTGGAGTCATTTTTTAAGGACTTTTAAAAAAATTTCTATTAAATGGTATTTTCTGGAAGATCCAGCTAAATACTTAAGAACTGTAAATATAGGGACAGTTCTGAGTTGTTAAAACATGATAATCCAGCCAGCCTTTATGTAAACTCACACACCAAGTGAGTAAGGAAAAGGAAATGTTTGTACTTTTTCATATCCTTCACTGAACCCCTGTGCTGACACACTTATGGGGGGCTGAAGCAGCTGGGTTATTTCAGCTACCATCATTTAGTGATGTGACAGGGGTTTTGTTACTCTGAAAGCACTTGGACAGGCGTAAGGTGGACCTATCCCAGAGCAGCTGTGCTAAAGGAGAAAAGCCAGCAATGCAAGAAGGAAACTGCAGCAGCTGCATGGAATCTGTTTAGAAGCAGCCTGGAAAGTTTATTCCATTTGTCCAGCTCTCTGTTGCTTTGTTATAAACAGGAAATGAAACATTGTTAATTCTGAGAACTTGAATATGTTTGCACTGAACATTTTGCTCAGTAGCTCACAGCTATGATAAATGTTTCATTTCATGAATGATTCACTGGAGGCCCTCACCCCTCAGCATAGCTCAGCTTTGTTCTTTTCTATATTTCAGACAAATATATCTGTCTGTATAGCTACTGATACATATTCATTGATGCTAAAGTCACAAGGAAATGACTTCACAAAATGTACAACTACTCTTACCCTCTTACCTGGCTGGTACATTCTCTGTACAGAAATACAAAATTTTGTACTTGATGCAATACGTACATCCAGGTTTGGAAAACACATGGCTCCTTACAGATAAACAGGCAAACTTGTTAGCTGGGATCTAGAATCAACCTTGTAAAAAAATCTTGTATTTGAGATGTGGCTACTTCACAATGGAGTTTGTAGGTGGTCATGAAATTAAAAGGAGATCACCTGCTTTAGGACACCTGAATTGCTGCAGTTTCACCTCCTCCAGCCTTCCACAAAGACAGAAATCAGCTCAGCCCCATGACAGAGCTGGGCTCTGAAGGGTTTGTAATAGCTCACAAAGCTGCCTTCTGATTCACTATTGACCTGGTGATTTCAGTCCCCTGTGCACACTGCCAAGCCCTTCATCCTTAAGGGCATCCCAATCACTTGGAGGATTCTGCTCAAGAGATCCCTCAGTGTTACTGGGAGAGGCTCCCTTGGAGTGTCCTGCAATGAAGCAACAGCTCTCCTTAAGCCTCCAGCTAACTGGATTCTTCACTTTTCAATTTTAGTTAATATTTAGAAAGAGAGAAAAGCAAATATGCACACAGTTGAATTCAATCATTTTCCCTTCAGCCAGGACATTTTTGCGGAACATATTTCCCCTCTCAGCACCGGTGAGAATGAGCTGTTCAACTCAAATGGAATATTATACATACAAGGATTATTTACATATTTTGTCTTTTTATGTGTGAATCACTATTATGGAAATGAAAATGGAATCTGTTTTTAAGATTCATGTCAGGACAACTGAAAAACTACATTTTAGATCACAGGTGGGAGGACACAGTGGCTTTGTCCTTCTATCATCAGGCTCGTAAGTCCCAGCACAGAGCAACCAGAGGAAGTACTGTGTGAAGGCTTTAAATTATTTAAGCCACTCTCTAGTATGCAGTATTACAGCTAAATAATGACATTTGCTGTTAAATCTCAAGTATATTTTTAATTGAAGAGGAATGAGCTTTCATCAGGATGTAAAGAAAACTAAAGCTCATTTCTAGAAGCTGCCAAATATGCTGACCCTGATAAAGAACTTGCTTTATTTTAAGCCTGTGAAAGAGCCACCGAAACGAAGAGATTACTGACATGCCTGAAGTTAAAATTGTTCTCATTGGTCTTTCTGGATGGGAGTCAGGGCATTTATCATGTGGGATCTAATTGTTAAATCCTGAGGATTGCACTTAATTTTTAATCTTTAAATTTCGTATCAGCTCAGATTACATGTTTAAAAGCAGGCAAATTGTTGTTATTAGTGCAACTAAAATACCTTTCAAAAGCTTACACAAACTGGGTTTATCGGAAGCTGCTATTTGGGAAACACAAACCCTTTCTCATTTGCATAGAATTCTGATTGAAAACAGACGTAAATTACATTTACAAACATAAATAATCTTTTTATAGTCTCTAAATTATGAAGGAGGCCTCATCAGAAATGGGCATTTGGCTTCATGTTCATCATATGGTAGCATAAAACCCCCAGAGTTTGTAAGCTTTGGAAGGTCCACTATTTTCAATTACTATTAATTCATTATCAATTACAGCATGTACACAGTTAAATACTAAAGGTGTTCTTACTGCTCTGTATGAATTCTGAAACAGAATTTGGTAGTCAACAGAAAAATTATCCATCAGTACAGAAAAAAACAACAGATGCTGGGCTATTTTTGTTGTTTAAAGCCATATAAAATTCCATTTCGCTTGGAATTGGGTTTTTAGATTTGTCTTTGAAAGAGCAAACAAAGACTCTGAAATGCTTTTCTCCTTTAAGATGAGCCTGTTTTTCTGTAACAGGAGATTAATCACAGGGAAATTATGCTTAATAGTTGGCTATTAAAAATGAGCAGGAAAGTTGCAAAACTGGTTGTCACCTTTGTGTTTACAATTTCTGAAGTGCAGAGAATGAGATGAAAAATCTCACAGGATTTCTTTAAGGTACATTCAAATGCTGACCTGTTCCATTAGCAGCTCAGTCCTAAATGGAACCAGAAGCCATGGAACTCAGATAAGATGATGGGACCAATAAGCTGTTTCATGAGAGGTTATATAATTTTTGGTACTAAACAGATAGGTTTCATTATCTAAGGAAAGTAATAAAATTACTTTTCATTCTACTGTAGGCTCAGTTTTGGTTTATGACCCGTACATAACATTCAAAATAGGATCTATATAAATGGAAGATAACAAGTACTCTACATTTTTAGTCTGAAAATCATGTCTCCTATAGTATAGAAATATATTCCTTGGCAAGTCCTCACTTTCTATCCTAAAAATGATTATGTAGTCCCGTTTTAGATAGTTAAACAGCTGCCATACTCACTGCCAGCTATGAATATAGACTTGGCTCCAGAGGCAAATCATATCTCCAAAATTAAATGCGAGCATAGATCTGATCATTCCTCTCTAGCTGCTTGTTGTGAACCATCATTTATCAACTCTGAGATTAAAACATTGAGACCTCATCTTCATTTGCATGGTGGCTGCTGATTTCAAGCAGTGAATTGCATTGACCTAGAAGAAGCACGCTCTTCAGAGATGTGCTCCATCAAATATACATGGGAGCAATTTCCGAGGGAATTTTCAGAGTGACTCTGCCTGCTGCCATTGATGCTTTTTGGCAGATCTGCTGCAGTCTGCAGTGTGCTTCAGTCCCTCTTGGTCTTGTGACATTGTTCCCTTCAAGCAATTGTGCATCAGCCCCTTGTCACTGCAGCACATCTGTCCTTTGCAGCTCTTGGACACTTTGCAGGGTTCACTGATCAGTGTGGGATGCAAGTAAGGACAGCAGGGGTGTTTAAAAGTGCTCAGATCTGCAAACTCTTCACAGAGCTTCATAATGCAAAGGAAAAGCCTTTTCTAGTTTGGACTAATTCAGCTGAGTATCAATGGTCTGGTACAGGATGTGTTCTGATAAAGGTAGGAAAGCATTTCAAAGAATCATCTGCAAAAGAAAGTGTTGGGCAATCTAGACAGAGGCTGCTGGCTGCTTCCCCTCTGACCAAAGGCTCTTGAGATATTACTGACCAGCAAGATTTAATACAAAAATAAAATGGTTTTGATTCCTATCCAGGCTGTTCTAAAGCCTCTTACCTTCCCTTCCTCACCAGTTCACAGCCAAGTTGCCTCTTACCTCTGATTCCTTGTAATAGCGCTCGGGAATCTCATCGCTGGCAATATCAATAAAGCAGACTTCTCGCTCCAGATCTTTAGCTTCTTTGTCAAAAATCTGCAAGAGTTAAAGAAATTCAAGGCTGTTACAGAACAACACCCTCACAAAATCCACCTGGAATAACTGTTACAAGCAGTTTCAATGACTTCTGCAACAGAATGTATTTTAGGCTTGTGCCTGAACAGCTTTGTGTAAAACGCTCGAGTTTTTGCAGGAACGCATTCTCCACCCTGCTGCTCACATCGTGTTCAGCACTGCCTGCTTTCACTGCTGTTTTTCCTTGGATTTTTTGGGAATGGAGACTTTGCTTACAAGCATTAAGGTCAACAATTTGGATTGTTTTTATTGTATTCTCCAATCTTTGTACCAGATTCTGTCACTGTGTAAAAAACCCAACTCTCTGGACTTGGGGGTTTCCCCCTCTAAGGACTACAGCAATGTGCAGGTGTTTGCTGGGAACAGTCAGTGTGAGTTGTTGTTACACTGAAAATCAAAATTTTGGTTGAACTGCCTCAGTGGAAGCTGCAAGCTTCCCCAACCCACCCATGCACACACATTTAAATCCTTTAGGACCTTGTTTGGAACAGCAAGCCTCCTGTTCTACGCAAGGTGAACGATGGAGATATTTTGAAAATCCAGGTCATTTGCAGCTGCAGCACAGTATCCTTCTGTGCCTGTGTCGATAATTTAATTATTTAGGCATCTCAGTGACCCATGTGACTTACACTGTGTCTGCAATACATTTTCCTCATGATTCTGAGACTTGGAAACAGCACTGAGCTAAAAGGCTACCATGAATTAGTGCCATGAAATTCAGGGAAGTTGTGCATCCACTGTAAGAATCAGTAATAAGCTCACAATGTGCTTTTTCCTTTGGGGCACAATGTTCTATAGCTGATATTTCCAGGAAGCAAAAATAATTTTGTTTTCTTTTTTTTTTTTTTTTTTTTTTTTAAATAAACCCATTGAATGCTCTCTTGATTTAATTAAATTCTAGAGGAACAGTTAAAAATACAAAATGCCAGGAACTATTTAGTAACAGAAATGCTACTTCATTATTTCTGAAAGCATTGGGGCTGCCCATTTAAAGCATTCAAAAAGAGCAATGGACTCCAGGGAACACAGGAACCAGCTGGTAGGAAGAAAATTGCTCAGGAAATCGTCTTTCAAATACAGGAAAAGCTGAAGTTTGACTCTACAATTTTAACTTGTCTTGGTAGTGAATAAAACAGGCAGCACTGAATGCTCACTGAACTGGATGTAATATGTTCACACATCTGAAACTGCTGAAGAACTGAGAAACTCCAACCTGGTTTTATTTGTATTATTATCCTTCTCTAATTGCTGTTTTGCAAAAACTTGTGTTAATTATTTGAGCAAAGTGGAACTTTGAAGGAAAGCCTTTCTCCTGTAGTGCTCCTTCTCTCAATTGGGTACATTGATGTAAATCACTTCTGTGTTTATATATATAATATAGGTCACCTTTTATAAGCTTCCTCACTTGCTTTTTTCCTAAACAAATTCAGAAATACAGAGCAAGCCCCGGATGAAATCAGTTGAACTATTTAAAGAATAAGATGCATTTCACCATAATCTGTCTAAAATAATGGAAATGGCACTTAAATGGACATTACCAGGTCAGCTGAGGCTTTGAATCTGTCCATGGCTTAGGCACAACCCCATAAATTCAAGCACATGCAAATCTCTGCCCATTTGCAACGGCCTAAATGGAAATGATTACCCAGTATCTTATCCAAAGAAATGTGCCCTGCTCTGTCCCAGACTTGATCCACATATTTCACCTCATGTGAAAATAGTTCTAAATTCCTTTTCTCTCTTTAAAATGCTATGATGGAAGTGGGGATGACAGATGCCTTTGCCAATCTGTCAAAACCAGGAGGAATTTTTCAACCATTTCAACGATGCCTTATTTGCTGCCGAGGCTGTCTCTGACCATTTCCTTTATTCCAGAAGTTTGCTGAATGACAGTCTTACTTCCCTTTGCCAGCAGAACTTGTTGTCTAATCATTTATGCTTCTCCCTTTCTCAGATTGTCCTCACAAGATTTGTAGCTAGAGATTTAATCTTCTCATTCTATCAGCAGTCGAAAATAAGGAGTCATTAGAGAACAAGACTGATTTCTTTCTTAGCTCTAATTCTCTTATTGCCTCTCTTAGCCACAGAGTCTTGGACTGCCTGAAACCCTGTAGGGAGGATGGGTTTATTGTGGCTGGGATCAAAGACACTAAAGAAACTTAAAAGTTTTAAAGGGAAAGATTAAAGGCCACAAAAAGTAGCATAAGGCTCCCAATCTGTGCAACTGTATTTGCAAATGTGCAGAAACTGAATGGTGAGAACAATCTGTATCCTTAAGAAGATGATGTAGAAGCCAGATTATTAAATATTCTATTGGAAAGGACTGGACAGGCTTTACATTTGGAAGCCAAGTAATTAATTGAGATTAAAATACACAATCAAATGGAAAACAAAGAGCAACATTCAGACTGAAGTGGCCTTTTTGCCATGGGTTTTGGTTTTATTTTGGGGGGAGTAACATGACAGTTTTTTTACAATAAACACTTATATACTTCCCTTTCCTAAGAGGAATAAAAAGTCAGCATGAATTAGACTACATCACTCCCAGAATGACAGAAAGTGGGAGAAAGGTTTCAGCTGGGTCTTCTTTATGACTGTCAGTGGTTTCTTCTGGTGAAAATTAAAAGAAACTCAAAAAACAAAAACCAAACCAAAACAACCCCCCCCAAAAAAAAAAAAAAACAAAACCCAAACCAACAAAAATAAAAGCCCCAACAAAAAAACAAACCACCCCCCCCCCCCCCCCAAAAACCCCCAAAAACACAAAAAAAACCCCCCCAACCAAAAAACCACTAAAAAACCCCAACCAACCAACTTCAAACCCAGCCAATCAACTGACCAGAAACCAAAAGTTAAGTTCACAAACCACACCCCCCCCCACCCCCAGGCAGGTGATTCCAGAATCTCAAGAAAGACAGCTCATACAGGATACTGCAGAAATGTAAGTCCTGGTGAACTTAAATTTCATTCCTTTGTTTCCCTCCTGCCCTACAAGGACATGTCCTGGCACATGCTTTGCTAGCAACTTCCCTTCTCCTGGTAGCCACAGTCAGAACAGAAATCAGGTCAGGATGTGATAGGAAATTTAATATCCTCTTTTCTACAAGCATTTTTTCCTATTTTTAATTTTTTTTCTATGTTTAGACTAAGTTGCTGGTTTCAATTTTATTCAAATGTAGTTAATCTAAAATATAACTTTATGGCCAATCTCCACAGCTAACCTGGACTGGATATAAACAGCATAAAGCCAATTTCTGCTGAATGCGTTTATTCCATCCACACTGGCAAACTCCTCACTCATCTGCACCACCAGGACTTCAAGAGTCACATCTGTGCCTCTGGCTTGGCTTTGTTTCATAATACATGATTCTCTCTTGTGATGTTTATTTTCCATCTTCAAGAGCAAAGGAACCATCCAAGGGTTTACCAGCTGGAAAGGTGTTTGGCTCTGTCATTACTACAAAATCCTTTTTTTTTTCCCAGCCTAAACACAAGGAGTTTGCAGTCAGAAGGCTGTAAAGAGACAGCTAATTCATGGCAGGGCTGTAATTGTGGTGAGGACTGCAAGAATAATCCTTTTCTTCCATTAGAAAAATGCACAGAATCTACTCTCCACCTTGAAATTCCCATCTCTGCAGACTGCCGTGGCCAGAACCACTGGCTGCTCCTCAGTGTGTTGCTGCACACCTTGAGCAGGTTGTGTCACTTGCTCCACTGGAGCTCTCATTTTTCTGAAAGAAAACTCCTCAGAACTCAGACCCATGGAGTTTATTCAGTAACTTTTCAATAAGTCATACTCCAACCTCAGCTGCTTCCAAATTCCCTAATTTCCTTTTGAGATTTACTTGGGCAGAGATTACAAGAGTTGACCAATTTCAAACCTATTTCTGGGATAAAACTATTTATGTGGACGTGCATAATTGGAAGCAATTTTTCTATGGAAAAAGACTGAATCTGTCTTTGAGAAAATTTGGCTCCATGAACTGGCTGGGAAGATCCCTGTGTGCCAGAGTAGGAGAGGCAGTTACATATTTATCTGCAGCCTTGCTCCCTGCTCCTTTTGATCTCTGTGTCATGACTCCCCTATTATTCCATCTCCTATAAAATATCTCATTAAGATTTGTGCTTTATGGACAGAAAACTGGATTTTTATGTAATTATGTCAAAGTGGCTCTGCTTCCAAGACCACAAGAAACTATCTATAATATTTACTGGGATTAGTTTTTTAAGTCACATCCAGTTCAGCTGCCAGATTTACTGACTAACTTCAGTAGTTCATTTAGAAAAATGAAAAAGTAGAGGAACAACCATATCACTTGTTCACACTCTGTCAGTGTGGGCCTTGTCATATGTTCTGTGATAGCCATATGTGCTTGGGACATAGGATCTGCAGTTCAACAAAGAGAGCTCTTCCCTCAGGAGGAATTTCAGACCAACCTTTCCACTTGTTTGCCTTTATCTTTTCAGACTTCTTAGAGGGGGGAAAAGCATTATAAAATCATGATTTATTCATTGCAAATTATGGGATACTCAGTACCATCATACAGGAAAAGTCCAGCTGCAAATCACCCTCAAAGTGTCCCTTGCTTTGATTTTGCCATATTTTGAGTGATGCCCAGCAATCCTTTTGACAGTTTCCAGAATGAGATCTTGTGGTGCAGGTTAAACCAGGGCACAGCTGAATCCTTTTCAGCTGAAATCAGTGTTTCATGGCAGTTGCCTTAAATAGTGAATTTACATTTAATTTCCATGTGCTATATTCAAGTTTGTTACAACCTAGTTCCACATTACTAAGATAGAAGACAAAAATAGAGGAAAAACCACCCTAAACTCAACCAAACTAGAAATGGATTTTCTTGTTAGCTGCCATATCTAAAATTTATTTTATTTTAGTTGCATAATCAAGATCCAGACACTGAGTTTGCCAGAGAAAAACGTTATGCTACGACGAGCAAGGCACTGGAAATTTTACATACAGTGAATTTTCATTATTGACAACCTTTGAATTATTTGACAAGCTGTACTTTTTTTTTTGCTTTTCCCAGACACCATCAGATGGCAAAAAATCACTGCCCAAATATCAGCAGCAATTAATTCTGTGACTAAAAAACAAAACAAAACAAATCAACAGAAATCAGTCAAACATAATGATCCTTGTGCAACAAATAGGAAAATGGAACGTGTCTGTGATTCAGTGATTTGCTTGAGCAGTGTCTGTCCCCAGCCTGCCTTTGCTGTACCTTCGCTGCCTTGCAGACATTTTCCCAGTAGCAGAGGGTGACACGCAGGGACAGTGTGGCGCTGCCATGTGTGACATGGCTGGGCATTGATTGCAGCAGCCACTGCAGCCATCTGGTGTGGCCCTGCAATCAACACAGCTGATTGCAATGCACAGTTGGTGCATTCCCCACGAAAAGGAAAAAGCCAAAATGTGTGTCTGTAGTGCACACTGAAACAGTAAGGAAAAGAGATGGGAGAGAAGTGAGAGCGAGACGACAGTTCCAATAAATCAGTCCTTTGTGACACAAACACTGAGCAGGCAATGGACTGTTGAAAGAAAATACCTGTCCAAATAAAAAAAGAGCTTACGGAAGTGTTCTCATGGAAAGCACACACCCAGTTTATTGACACACAAGCAGTAACTCCCACCCTCCTGCCCGGATTTCTACCATTTCATTCAGCAGAGACCTGTAAGAATTCTCTCTGTAAGGATGTCCCTTATGTTGTAAATATTCAGAATACAGACTTTATCAATCTATATTCAAATTCCCAAAGTGCTAATTTTCCTTTGGGAGAAGGATGTGATTACTGTGCCCTTTTACACTGCTCTGTGCCCACTGAGGCTCTGGGCTGTAGGCACCTGCACTTCTCCCTGCCCAGCACTGCCCAGTGGAAGCAGCTCAGGATACAAAGGGAAGCAATATTTTCATGACTCTAGAGATGCCACTTCCCATGTCATTTACATCTCACAAAACATTCTAATTTTTATAAATTCCATTTTGTCATTTAAAATAAAAGTAAAATCAAAATAAAATTTCTCTTTAAGAAGTTGACTTTTAATTTAAAAGATCTGAAAGAGGAAATACTGACTGGCCTGACTCACTGGTCCAGTTTCTGACAGTGTTAATGAAGCTGTAAAGCTACAAGGTAGCAGGGACAATATTTGATGTACTCACATGCTCATCCAACACTGGCTCTGTTTTTCTAAGAATAGAGTTGCCATGGAACAGCTACATGGGATACATTAAAATCAGCTGCTCTGAGCACAGAAATCACAGCTCATTGGATTTATGGTTCTGCACTACTACACAAGGTCACCTAAATAAAGACATTTATTGTCCATTGTTCTTTCTGTCAGTATTTATATTTGTGCAAATCAACTGCAAACTTTAACAGATTGGAACAAGAATGCTTTAACACATTTAAAATAGCTTAAAATGGTAATGAATTCTAAGACACAGAAAAATCAGGCTCCAGAGCAGACACCGCCTTTCACTAGTATTACTACTGTCTTCTGTCATGCTAAATGGGAAGAAAAATCAGTAGGAACTTTGCATCAAGATATATTGCAATAATTAGAATTATACCAGACAACACAACATGTTAAATGAAATAATTCTAATAACATCCTAGCCTACCAAATAACAGGAACCCAAGACCATTTATAATGCTTTCTTCCATTGATCAGTGGAATTAGTTTTAGTATCCTTATGTCTGAGTAGTGCTTTTCACAATCAATATCTACTTTATCAGACAGTATGGAAATGAAGAATAGATCAGAGTGCAAAGATTTTAAAAAAACTGTATGATCTAAAAAAATACATTGAGAAATAGCTGAGTTAAAATCAGATTTGTATTATTGCCCCCATTACTGTAACATTAATATTCATTCAGTCTATTTTGCATTACAACTGCAAAATTTACAGAAGTATTTTTTGGATTAATTATTTCTTCATCAGACAAGGCTGATAGTTGCAATGAAGGAAAATACAGTGTATCTATGGAAATCTATAGGAATGGGTGCAATGAAGGAAAATACAGTGTATCTATGGAAATCTATAGGAATGGGTGCTATTTACAGAAGTATTTTTTGGATTAATTATTTCTTCATCAGACAAGGCTGATAGTTGCAATGAAGGAAAATACAGTGTATCTATGGAAATCTATAGGAATGGGTGCAATGAAGGAAAATACAGTGTATCTATGGAAATCTATAGGAATGGGTGCTCTGCTTCCTATTGTTTTCTACCCAAACAGTGACATTTAATCTAAACTTGTCTGACACAAAGGAGAAATGCACTTTGCAAGTTCTTAAGGGAGGTTTAAGCCTGCCCATTGAGCAATGGAAATGAGGTTGACTCCTGCTCCTAGTTCCAAGGGGTTTGGATTAACAGAAGCCTCTCCATATTTAGGAACCTTCCAGCATTTCAGTGCTGCACCAGTCATGTCTGTGGTCCCAGATAAAGATCATGGGAGCACAAAAATGTAGATTTTCCATTGGTTTATGTGTTCACACCAGGGAACAGCACATCTCTCAGAATTACAAAATCAGGGAAATTAGGGCTGGAGTGCAACCTTCTAATTCAGCTGCTCTTTCTCCTCCTCAGTTCAAGCAGGGGTCAGTGAAATCTCTTAATCTAGGCAAACACTGGCTTAGTCTGTGACTCAGGTGCTGCAATAGAAAGGTAATGTGATATTACCCCACTGGCAGTCTGGTAAAAATGACATTGGAAGAGCTGGATTCAAGCAGAATAGAGTTTCTTTGATTTACATCACTGGAGTATCCCACCTCTGTGCCACTTTCATCTGAATTCCATGGCTGGATACTGCTCAGGGCTTGATTCACAGTATTTTAGCCACAAGCTGACACACTGAAAGAATTCACTCTGCTTAAATAGCTTCAGTTCTTCCTCTGTCAGACAGCAGCCCAGATCATGTCTGCTCACTGCTGACATTATAATGCACCAGAAAATTAGTCTGCACCCTCCCAAAACCAAAGGTGTGGGCTTGCTCTGAATTAAAGTGCTGCCAAAAAGCAGAAGTGAACATTAAAAAGTGCACAAATTACACAATGTTCATCTAGCTGGTAATGTAATACACTTCTTTTTCACTCACTCACTGATCTGGCTTAGAGTAGCAGCGACTGTGAGTGGTTGGTATCTGGTGGTTAATAGATGATCCCTGTCATGTTCCCAGTGGGAAAGTGTCTGCATGCCAAAAGCATTATTCCAAATTCCACCTTGTTCTTGTACATGTAATTATTCTGCCATAAGCAGTGCAACAGCTGTCAGCCTCATGAACAGGCAGCCCCAGGGGGCTGAGGGAAATGTACCTCCCACCTGGAGAACAGAACACCTTCCTCTTACCAAGACTGCTGGAGGGACACCCCAAAACGCTGGAAGGCTGTGCTCAGACCCCTTAAAATCTGCTTGCCTGCCTTTTTCCTTTTCAAGAATGAGTTCAAACACCCCATCATTGGGTCTCTGTTTTACAGCTCAAATTTCCACACATTTAAACTTTGTTCATGCCTACAAGAAACCTCTTCCCACAAGTCTGCAACCAATGCATACCAAAATGAAACAGGAAGAAACACATTTGTGTATGAACCCAAGGGTTCAATCTTTACATGCTAGGCTTTAGTGAAAGTTATTCTTCTATTTTTGCAAGGTAAACGCAGACTCTGCTTTGCTCTCTGCACAGCAAAGCCTGCTTGACCTCCTGCCCTCTGATCCAGAGCCTCTCTGATCAGCAGCTGCTGGCTTCTCACTCCCACCCTTCCTCTGCAGAGGGTTTTACATAGTTAATTGTCCTTCTCATCTCTAAGCTCTACCTCTGAAAATTTTTAACTTTGGGTAAGTGACTGCCAAAAGCATTACCTAAGTGCACAGCCATTGCTCCCCCAAGCTGCTTTCTGAGATCTCTCATCTCTGACCATTGTTCAGTTTCCTGTTTGTCCTTCCTGACACCTCCTCGGAATTCAACCCCCTTTATTCAGAGATAATAATGTGAAACACAGAAAGTAGAATACCAGCACACCAAAAAAACCAAAAACCCAGTCATCTTTTCTTTACTTTCCATAAATGTTCATCATGACTAAATTCACATATGTCAATTATGCTGTGTTTAGAGAAGGAACAAACAGAAGAGGCAGAAAGGAAGGTGTGTACACAGATCTTTCATCTCCTGCTACTTCACAGGTAACTCCTCTGCAGCTGCTCAAGACCAGGACACCCAGGGAGGGGCAAAGGCACAAGTTTGATGGGGCTTTATCCCAAATTGAGAGACCTCCAGGCCCCAGACAGACTGTGGTTAACAAGAGCATTAAATCAACTTTTGCACAAGGTGCCATACTTACACTGTCATTGCTTCCTTTGTTGTCCTCATATTTTGTCTCTATATGAATGGAGAATTTAGGCAAAAACGAACACTGCAACAAAAAAAAAGTATGTTTAACACAAAAAATATGCCTTGCTTCATCAGCTGACACATTCAGTACATCCCTTTTGTATCACCTTTCTTATTTTTTTCAGATTACTTCAAGAAAAAGAGTAAATGTTCCCATACATTCAGTACATCCCTTTGTATCACCTCTCTTTTTTTTTTTTCAGATTACTTCAAGAAAAAGAGTAAATGTTCCCAGAATTTAAACCTGAAAGGTTTGATGGTTCTGGAGGGATCCAGAGATTCTATCTAAAAGCTGAAAATTATAATGAAGATATAAATAAATCAGTATAAGCAGTCTGGAATAATTAGATGCAATGGTTTTCATGCTCACTATGCCCAAGAGTATGAATGTCCTGAATGTCTTGTTAGAAATTCAATTCACTAAGATCTTGAGAGCAACTTGATATCCCTCATTACAGACCAGCCTATCCCCATATAGAAAAACCCAAGGACACTTCACCAGATGCACGTCCTGACCAAACAGACAGCAATGCTTTCATATGTGAGGACTTTTTCTTAATTTTCAGTGAGAAATGAATTTTAGCATCATTTCCTGTTAATGAAATTTAGCTGGATTATGAACCCCTGTGAAAAATCCTTTTTACTAAACCCAAATAAATCTTTAGATAGTAATGCCAAAAAAAAAAAAAACAAAAGAGATAAAAAAGAAGAATGAAGAAATGTTTTCCTGTTAAACATGAATATTCTGTATTTACATGGGAATAAATTTCTTTTTCTGAGGATTGCTTAGCTTAGTTGGCTTATGAAAACTAGAATTTGTAATACTAGGCAACATAATTCCATCATAATAAATATTTCAAATATATTTTATTTATAAATTCACAGTTCTTCTTTCAAAGCAAGTTTGCAGACAGGCAGATAGAACAGCTGTCTAACCAGCTCTAAATGACACTAGTTCAGCATCTTTCCCATTAGTCACCAAGGCTTTCCCTGCATTAACTGCCAGTTCCTTGTGTGATGCATCACTAATCCCCTATGGCAAATGACTCCTTCATGGGCTGTGCATACAGGTTATACAATGAGGGTGTTTGGACACCTCAGTGTTCACACTGCTGCTGGTCCAAGTCCAGGCTTGAAAACATTCAGAGAGTTCCTCAAGGGAGGGGCTGGTGAGTAAGGGAAGAGGGTGTTTAGGAGGCCAGGTGTAGTGCAACAGCTGAAATCTAAGGCAGCTCCTTGGAGACTGCAGGAAAGACATCCCTCCATCAATGGGTATCACCCAACAAGTCATTGTTCAGTCTTCTTCTGATCACAGGATATCCACTATCAATCAGCACATCTAGAATCAATCCTGGTCGAAAAAACAAGTGAGACAGTTTCCTCAAAATAAGGTTCTGGTGCTATGGAAGGCAAAACCCCCTTCATGCTGTTGATCTGAAGCACAGCTGCAGTTTCAGAGGGATTTATGAATAAAACCAAATGTCAGATTTCCCTTTGACCTTGGTATTAAAGAAATGCCTGCTATTTTCAATCACTGTCAGGAGGTTGCCAGCAATGAGTCAGGTCATGACACCGAAATGTCACCGTTCCATGTACTGAACGTGAGGCTGCATTGGGCTGCCTGGAGAAGCTCAACAAGCCACTGCTTGAGCCTAGCTGTTGATTCCTGTGACCCAGAATCTAAACTCTAATTAAAACAAGAGATCTTCTAACCTTGTATTTCAAAAAGAAGCATTAAGAAAAGACCAAGGTTCCTTAGACTACCATAGAAGAATGGTGCCATTTACCTCAAGCCACCTCATTAGAGAGCCACTTTCTGTAAAGCCACCCACAGGCAGCCTCCCTGTGTGTTTAGTATGAAGGAGAGAACTGTTAACAACCTAATTTGAGATTATAAATGGCAACATGGGTTTACCCCAAATGAAAATTCAAATTCACCAGAAGTCCTCCACCGCAAAAATCTCTCTCAGAAACTCAACTGGCTGGCAACCACTGCTCTAGCAGCTGTGGGGGGTCTTGCTGTCTTACAGGAACACTTAGCAGGGTCCAAATTTTTGAACATTTCACAGAATGTGTCTCATGATTCATCAGCTGCACTCTGACTAATTGGAAGAGGGCTCTGGCAGAACTAGAAAACTGTTTATGCATCATTCAAAAGACTATTATTCATCGTGCAAAAAGTTGGGTTTTTCCCCTCAAGTGGCGGCATATTTACTTAACTGGGGATTAAAATTGTTATGCAACAGTCAGAAACAAACTGGGGAATGAATAGTAGGTAATAAACCTTTTAGGAGACTCTTATTTTCTTCTGAGCACCAGTCCCTTTCTGCTCTGCCTCCTCTGGGGCCCGTGTTCTTCCAGCACTGACCCGGAGGCGATCGATTCGAGCGCACACAGGAATGCACAGGGCACTCTTTCCAGCTCTCCATTTCACTGCCTCTACAGTTTGCAAGGATCCTCTTGGGAATGAAATAGTGGCAAATTCAATCTTTAACTTGAAATTAAACTTAAGTTCTACAGAATAATTCAAAATCTTCAGTCAAAGGTCTTCAATGATGAGGTGTCTTTGTGTAAAGCTCTCAAAGGAGGCATCTTAGGTATTGTCACCTCCAGACTTTGTAGATGTCTTATAAACTCCTTTAAAATTTTTATACCCTAGCACACCTGTGACACTCAAAAACAAATAAGGAGAATATTCAGAGGGTTTTGTTTGTTCTCCTAATCTTTCTATATTTGGCACCTCAATTTTGGAAGAACCAGGAGAGGTTTAAAGCTCAAGAGAGCACCAGTGCAATAACAGGAGAGTGAACCAGTAATTACCCGCGTGAGCAGGGGTATTTCCACCTTAGAATGAAGGGAATGAAAGCAGAATATGGAAAGCACAGCCCCCAGTTGCGTTTGCAATTCCCTACATATAACCTCTTGAAAAATACAAGGCCTATTTTTAGCATGATGATTGATTAGCGTTGCCATAGCAATAAGCAACACTTACAAGAACAGGGTAGAACCGAGGTGTGCCAAAACACTTGCCAAAGTCTTAAAGAGACAGTCAAACACAGGCAGGGTGTGACAATTATTTAATGGAGAGGGCTGTCAAATTCACCTTTGCTAGTATTTACACCTGAGGTGGCTGTGGGAATTACTGCAGGTGTCAGCAAATATGTTGGTCTGAGAGAGGCTTCTTCACCCTCTGGAACCTGCTTTGTGTGAACGATGCCAGTTCATCAATGCTGTTGCAGCTGGTTTCATTTTCCATGTGGTTTCTGCCTGCAGAATGTTCAAAGACCTGCTAGAGACCTCATCCTTGCTCTCCACCTCTCCTGTTCCTTGTGAATATTGTTCCACAATCCTTGGCAGTTATTTCTGCACAGTAAAAATTAATCCCCCTTTTTTTTTTTTTTTTTTTTTTTTTTTTTTTTTTTTTTAAGCAGCAGAAGCATATTTCCCTAAATCTTAACATAAAAGCCCAGCAAGGCAGACATTTTATGCAAATGTTCTCTCTTATCTTCCACCACTTCTCAGACTGATGATTTTTTTACATGGTCACATATGCATTATTTTGACAACACAGGTGGAACTGGATTCTTTAGAGAGTGATCTCCATGGAGCCTAAAGAGAACAAAGTGACTGCTACAATGAGGTGAGAACGTTCAAGCAAATTAAATCTTTTCCATAGGGTAACTCCCATATATCACATCCTTTAAATTCAAATTTTTTGTATGCTATTTTGGTATTCAGGGGGTAACAACAGCATTTCTTTAATGAAGATCAAGAACCTGGGAAAGAGAAATGGAGTCCCAACTTTGCTGTGAGCAACAAAGGGGATGTGGGACTGTGGGGTGATGGAAGGTGGAATTTTGGAAAATGGACAATGGGGAGTTATTGACTCCCCTCAGATTGCTGCAGACAGAGCTGCTGTGTGGTCAGGTCACCCAGGCACAAACCAGCATCAATCAGGGTGACAAGGCTGGAAGAGAATAGACGGAAAGGGCTGGGCAGGGTGATGGCATTTGGAAGATGTGACTCAGTGAGAGGGAGGAGAATTTGGAAAGCAAGATAAACACAGGAAGGTGGCAAACAGCAAACAAAAGTACTGTTGAGTGGAAAGGAAAAGAACAATGCAAAAACAGGGCTTGAAAATAAACAAGGGAGCAAAACTCTCATAAACAAGCAGAGGAAGAAAACCACTGTCTGTATTGTGTACAATAACCTGGAGATGGAACGATGAGTAACAAGTTGCCTCCAACCGCTAGAAAACTCTTATCTCTGGCTTTGCCTTCCCTTAGGATCTCTTTCTTTGATACATGGGAACAGTAACCTCCTTACTGAAGAAGAAATGAAGTGAAAAGCAGCGTGCACAAGTGGAAATGACAGTCCCATCCATCAGAGAGGGGGCTGGATTGCTTTGGAATAAGGCAATGCTGGAAAAAGGGGAATTCTCCCAAGCAGTTTGAGTTACTTGTTTCAATGGGATTAAGCTATTAAATGAGAATACAGGTTTGCAGTTCTCTAAAAAATGTATTATTTTTTTCTTATAAATACTACAGAGGTCCTTCCTTTTGCTGGAATCTCTCCTAAGGGAAATAAATCTGTGTTTTCCCAGGACAATGGCATCAGTGAGCCTGTTTTCTGAGCTGAGGGGGTAAGATGGGAGGATGCTGGTAGCAACTTTGCATTAGGCTCTAATCCTGCAGTATGGATTCTTTGTACTCCATTTTTGATGCAGACTCTTTAAATCCTCAAATTGCAGAAAATTTCAGCCCTGAAGAGTGAGGGGTTAGATCCAAATTTCAAGGGCTGGAAATCAGATAAGGAGAACACAGGAAAAAAACTCTACAGCAATGTTTATCTGAAACAACTCTTTTCCTTCTCAAGTCATCTCATTATAAAAATAACAATACAAAAACATTCCTTCCAGATAATTTACTTCATGGATAAACCAGCAGTTAAGTGAAGCACAAAACATGCCTGTTCTCAAAAGTAATCAGAAACCAGCAGGTCAGTAATGGACCATTTAGCAACTCTCACTCTGGGGCCTTGACACATACCAGATGACATAATTTTATTTTCCTCAGTCATTTGCTGTAGAAAAATAAATATCATTGTGATAAATCATCAAAGGAATTGTTGTCTCCTGCTTTCTGTTCCATAACTGATTTTTGTAAATATTCTGGGTTTATATTCTATTCATGAGGATGTTTAGGACATTGGCATGTTGAAGGAATGCTCCTCCTCCTTGTACAGAGCAAACAATGCCATTTTAATGTTTGTTTTGTCTATATAATTGTGAAACTAACAATTGTCCATAAATTACGAACAAAAAATTTATTCAGCTGTTTTTAAACTTCATTCCCAGAACTGAAATATTGCTAACACCACAAAAGCCATTCAGGTCAGGCAAATCTCTTTGAACTGATCCTTGGTAAACACTTGAACTGCACCTTCAAACCCAGAAGAGTTTGCTTAAATTCTCTTTGTATTTTTCCTAGCCACTTTCTACTCCAGCCTGAGAGCTAAACTTTGGCTCATTTTCACTGTACTTCGATCACATGAAGATTTTGTACTATGGTTTAGTCACCAAACATGATCTGATTATTTGTTTGCTTGAGGCTCCTCTCTTTTTTTGTCCAGAATCTCCACTGTCTCTTGAGCAGGTTGAATGGATATTTGCTCTGTGCTGTTTATTTTCTAACAATATCCCAATGCAGGTAAAGAAACTTAGTTCTATGCAATTCTTCTTCGTTTGGTTTGCGGTAGACACAAGTTTGCTTTCTAGTTAATTATTTCTAATCTTGCTGGGCAACCTCAGAAATAAAAATAACAAAGCCTCCTGAAAGTTCAGTTTTCTTGCCACTGTGAATAGCATAGATATTTTCCACTAAAAATACATATTTGCTGTGATAAGCTGGCACACAAGGGGTTATTGATCTTGTCTCCATCCCCCAAGAGAAAAAGGCCTTGACTAGCAAAGGAATTCTTCCAAAGGCAGCAGCTAACAGCACCCATTCCCCAGGAGCAGATGTAGCTGGGCAGGAGGAACCTGACCACACCCAAGTCCTGGAATTGCTTTTGGAGTGGAATCCACTGGAGTTACTCCTATAGGGCTGCATTTCTGCTGCATCCTAAATCACAGGTTTATTATCTTAACATCAACCTAATCACAATATAAATGAATCTGTAGATAAAACCTAAACATGTATTTTAGCAAGATATCTTGTGAGGCTTCTAATGACAAGATCAAAACCAAAGCAGCTTCAGTGTCTATCTTGAAGACACTTTTTCACATACAGGTCTGAAGTAACACCCCAACCACTAAAACTTTGAACTTTACAGGAATATCTTATTCTCTAAATAGCACCCCCAAATCTGGATGACTTCCTTTGGCTTCAGCTCTGACAGTATTTTTTGACTTCCTCCTCCCTCTCCATGTCAGCAGGAAGCTTTCAAGGATTAGCTCCAGCTCTGATGCAGCACTTGGGACAGTCCCCATGTATCACCTTCCTGAGAGGAAGTCTTCTGTAGGGCAGCTTTAACCAGGTGCATTTGCAAATGCTCTCCTGATGTGACCCTACAGCACAAATTGCACCCCACAAAAGCATCACTTGTGCAATAGTTCTGTTAAACTCATTATCTCAAGTGTGGCTTTTGCTTTACATGTTGTTAACATGGTTGTCAATACCCAGTAGCAGATGTGGTGTTTGTTGTCAAATGTAGGGGGTTGCTGTGTAACAAATACCATTGCTTAAAGCAGATGCCATCATAACTGGATCCAGATTACAGAGGACTAATATCATGACAATATAATTTCCATTCCTGTTTTCATGCATCTAATTGCTTTTGGCTTTTTATACAACCATGGCACAGAACAATATTCTGAAAATTGTTTTTCAATGCCTGATGAGCATTTTTTCTTAGGTGCCCTAATTTCAGGTCTTTAAGAAGGTCGTATTTATGAATTCCATAACATTCACAGGAGAATCAGATTGATGAAATTATTCCATACTGCATTTCTAAATGCCAGAATATGGGCTTGAATGCTATTTCTCAACAGCTTACACATTTTAGAACTGAAAAACCTTAAGACTGTCAGTAAGGTTCAGTCTGCTATTCACATCCTTTTCCAAATCACTAACACACACTGAAATAACATGCTGAGCCTTTAAGGTCCTTCTCTTTATTTAGAGTGGAATTTACAAGGTTAATAAGGTGTGAACATACCACAGAGCAGTACGTACTTGACTCGATAAGATTATGCTTTATTTATCCAATTATTGGCCTGCCTTTAGAATGAGTTTTCCTTGAAATGAGGCTCAATTTGACTCTCACCATTTCTCACAGACCCTTCAGAAATAATTTATGATCTTTAAGAAAAGGACTTTCAAGCTATCTTACATATTTTGGGCAATGTCTGTGGGCTTATTCTTTCTTTCAGAATTCTCTAATGAATACAGAAGATCAAATTTAGAGAAATATTGCAGACAAGGATAGCAATTATTCCCAGTGGTATGTTTAACATTTTTGTTCCAGATTCAACAGTTGGAGGCAAAGGCACTGTCTCTGTTTTCCATGAAGATAAATTCATAGCCAATCAGCTCCATTAATACATATTTTAGATTTTTGTCTGAAGTACAGTTTCTCTTATCTCCTCCCAGTACTTCTAGTTCTGTTTCCTTGCACCATGGTAATTAGTCCCCAGCTCCCCATGGCAGTTACAGTGTCACTTAGTGATTGTTTTGCCTACCTTCTAAATTTCTGGACTGATTTAATTTTTCTTTATATGTCTCTTCAACGCTGCAATCACTTCTGCTGATGCTCTTGAACATTTCTGTAGCTGGTACCTCCGACCTGCACCAGGTGTTTCACCAGATCAGACAGAGATCACCTCCTGATTCAGATTCTCTGAGTACAGCACTGCTGTTTGGCTTTAATAATGTATTGCATTTCAAATTTAGACACATATTCTGTCTGCCACCACCCTTTGCATCATCCCCACTCGTCTCTCTTAGTTAAAGAAAAAAAAAATCAAAAAATCACATTGAAAGATTCAAATTCACTTTCAGTTAAAGAAAAAAATTTACTGTGGAGAGATATCAGTGCAACACAGCAAATGTCAACTTCCCAGCCTAAAACTAAATGTGCTATCAAAGGTAAGCCTTAATTAATGTGAACTCTGACAGACCCTACCAAAACTCTCTTCTGGCAAAACCAGCTGAGAATCTGTCCCTCATCACTGCTGTCCATTCTGGGACATTTGGGTTTCCTCTGACAATCAAATGAATATTCTAAGTACCTGTGGCACATATTGGAAAGCACAGTTTGTTGCTTTGGGTTTTCAAACCTGGCTATCACAGTTGCAGCTCTTGGTCTCTAGCATTCAGATGTGAGCCTTTAAATCCCTTTATTTTTTTCTTTTTATCACACTATTTTTTTCTCTTTGTGCTTTATGAGCTTTTTAAAAATCTGCACAAACATTTTGAGCACTGCAGAATTAAGAGAAACATCTGCATTATGTTTTACCTGCAGTCAGAAGTTCAAGCTAAATCAAAGGAAGAGTTTCTGAAAGGACCCTTCACCTGGAAGCTCCTCACCTTCCAAAGGCTGCTGGAAACTTATTGCTATTATTGAGGCCAGCATCTTTAAACAATTTTTCTCATGATTTATGTGCTATATTTTGCCTTAGTTCTGTGAGAGGGAATAGCTGATTTTTCTGGGCACTGTGCCCAGATTATCTTTAATTTTATCTACAGATTGTACAGTTTCCCAGATACTATACCAGAGATGAGCATTTTATAAGTTAATAAACCAATAAATAAAATCTGTTCTCATGTCTCCATGTAACAATTGGAACCTTAAAAGCCTCACCCTTTTTAATAGAAGGTTCTCTTTCTTACAGTTAGTAAGTACAAACATATCAAATTATTTGGAAGTGATAAAGAAAAATAATTTATAGGATCCCCTTAGAAATACTTCAAATTTCCTTTAAATTGCTTCAATAACTAAAATAAGGTTTCATTATTGAATGCATTATAAATAAGTTATATTAAGAAGGGATCAGATTGAATTCCACTACTATATTTTACATAATTTTTCTATTTTTGGAATAAAAAGAGGAAGAAAAACTTACTGTGTATTCTGATTTCCAATTGTCCATTTGTAAAAAAAGAAAAAAGAGGGGAAAAGAAAAAAAAGAGAAACATGAAATAAAACAGTGATGCAAGATCCTTACAGTAAACACACATTAATAATAAAAATGATTGTGTCAGATAGTCTGCAGATTTATATTTGACTAAAGTCTAAGAGACAATAAAGGACACAAGTCAGACAAATCCAAGCACACAATGTTTTCTTTGCAAGCAAGAAATTGCATAGATACAACACCAGTTTTTACCTGTCCTTACTTTATAATGTTCATTTCCTGATACCAGTAAATATAAGGTGAAAAATATATTCACTTCAACAGGAGTTGTTAAAGAGAATTGGTGCTTGTAATTCAATATAGAACTTGGAACTTCTGAAGATAAACTAAATATCCCCAAACCACAAAGCAGCAATCATTTCTGACACATTCCTTACCTGTGATTGTGTAAGGATAATAATTCCAGGCCTTCTCTGTGACATAAAATATTTTGGGAACAACCGCTCTAGCCCAGCTAGGCAGCTTGCTGAAAGTAAAAAGAAAATATAAAATCAGAATATCTTATGACTTATACTGTTAGAATATATTATGACTTAAAATATACTATGATGTATTGCAGAAATAAAGATACTTCCAAAGGTGCCCATCATTTGTGAGGCGTTGAGGGAGACAGCAACACCCAGACTTCCCAGGAGCATTTTCCCTTCTGCCTCAGCTGCGCTCCCCTCTCACCGGGAGCAGATCAGGGCCAGAGCAAAACCTTCGAGTGGGCTGGACTGAGGCTGCTCATTTTGGGAATTCATGGCCTGGAACCTTCGGCCACACTCTACAGGTGAGGCCAAACAAGGTGTCCCGGTGGCACCGTGTGCTCAGCCACAGGGAGGCACTCTCTAACAAGAGGTCAGGCGGAAATGTGGGCTTTCAGTCCACTTCGATCCCGAATCCATTATTTCTTCTTACAGGTTTTTTTTTTCTTTTTTTCGTGTTCTCTGCCAGCCCTGAAACCCTCGTGCTCAGCTCACCTGGCACGCAGCTGTTCCCACACTACCAACACCAATTCCTGAGTAGGAAGCTTTTATATTAAAATTAACAGATCGCTCAAAACACCTCGTGAGGCTGGTAGGCAGCATTAGTCCCATTTTGCTGATGGGAAGAGTAAATAACAAAAGTGAAGAGAATTAATGGAACTGATGTTACAGCTCAGAGCTCATTCTGTCAAGAAAACTCACCAGTGCAGTGGTGCAAAGGTAGCAGAATCAGAAATCAAAGACATAGATTCACCATTTGCAGGGATCATTGAAGGATAATTGAATAATGCTACGGAAAGGTGGCAGCATTTTTTTACCCTAGCTCTTGGAGCTCTCATGTCCAGCACTCTGGTCACAGAGGGTACCAAAAACTGATGAACAAACAAATATTCATAAAGGCAAGTTCAGTCTAATTCATCTTTCAACCCTCTCTTAATGACTTCAGTTATAAGCACTGAGGCTGCCAGGAACAAAAGATGCAGAACTAGTTATTCCAAGGACAGCAGACCTTGGACACCACAAACATCCCTGTGCTTGGGGGACTCAAGTTCAAATGGTGTTGGTCTGGCAAAGCACTGAGCAGAGCACCCAGGCCAAGACTGAATCTGAACTGAACTGCAGGAGATGCTTCCAAACCTCAGTTTCCCAAGTGTAAATGTTTGAAATAGTTCTGTTTAGATAACTGTGTGCAGAAAGTAAATTAACTTTCCATATTAGCAAAATTCTGAAGAAAATACATTTGGGATCATTAAGGCTTATTTGACCATGATCTGGCTACATATAAATATTTTATTTGTCCAGAGGCAAAATGCAGATGTTAGTACATTATATACAGATTCAAAGCCAAGTGCGTTGACTTTTGCTGTTTGATGACATTGCTCAAAACTGGATTATTTTCTTTACATAAACCTTTCTTGTGTACAGACTTTTAAGCAGTATTTTACATCCTGCATAATAGACTTCCCTGTATCAGATCTTCTGTTTATTTTGTCATCCTCTGTCAGAGCTTTTAGGAATCCTTCCCTTACCCCTGCTAAACTTTGCTCTGATGCCTAAATCATAAATACCAGAGGATGCAGGCTTTCAGCTTCTGAAAATATTGCTCCAGCAGAAGAGGCAATAAACAATTCTAAATATAACTAAGGTTATACTGACACCAGAAAACATACATCTGCTCATTTTGCACTTTTTTTGGTTATTGTTGTTTTTAGCATATTTGCCTGTCTACCTATCTTCACCAGTACAGAACATCCTGAAAAAAAAATAACTTTATAAGCAAAACACAGATTATATTCAGAATTGCAAGCAAGTCCCAGTCACAGACACACATGAATTCTTCCAAGGTCCACTCCAAGAAAAGATACTATCTCTATTTCAGCAGTACAGGTATGAAGATCACATTAGCTTTTTTTTCTTTTCCTTATTTCCTTATTTCTTCTCCATCCAGATGAAGTTCAGTCTCAAATTTCTTTAAGAGATATCAGTTCAGATCAAAAGAGAGCAAAGCAAAGTTTGTTAGGGCAGTGGACCCAGAAAGAAGAAAAGCTGAGGGAGAGACCTGTGCTGGTGGAAGTTGTGTTCCTCAGCAAGCCAGGCAGAGGAGAAGTTTCCAGCACATCCTGTATGGAAACACATCTCCTTGAGTGAAATCCTCCAGAGACATCCTGGCCTCTCAGCAAAATCCACAGCAGCCTGAAAACCTCCTGATCCTTTCCACAAAGCTTCAACAGAACTGCAATATTTGGTGGCATTGTGATCCCACAGCCGGATTCAAATAGCAAATCTGGTGATGGAGGATTCAGAATTATCATTAAACTCACTGAACCTGACTTCAAACATCCATCACAGCTTTAGGTAACTGTCCTGAGTTGTTGTAGGGACAAAGATCTGCTTTGTTAATGTTTGTACCCATCTTTGGCTAAGAAATCCTGTGTTCCATTGCCTGCACTACCAGGAATCACGTGCTTCCCAAGTGTGGTTTGTACATGGCTTCTAGGTTCTTGTGGTCATTCTGAATTGCCCTGAAGTGGCAATTCTGAATATGATCTTCTGTGCTTAAAGCCTTATTTTTAATATGCAGGAAAGAAATACCCAGAAACACTTTCTAAAAATCCACAACTTGTGGGAGCTCTACAATGGGAACACATATATTGATTTTTCCCAAGTCCTGTATCTAGCCTGTGAGAGAACACTTACAATCACAATAATATGAAATGTTGGCAAGATATATATTATTGAACTCTTCTCTGTGTGTGTGTGTGTGCAACATCACTGCTGATTAAATTTGGCCTGAATTAAGGTTAGCTATGTCAGGTTTACAGTGCAGGAGGAAAATGTAATGTAGAAGCAATAGCCTCAGTGTTTGTATGCTCACTTCAGAAATGCTGCAGAGCATAAGTTTAATACAATGAAACAGGCCCAGGAGAAAAGAAGAACTTCAGGAAAAGCAGCGGTATTCAATTAAATCAGCAGTAGTAAAAATGGGAACAGATTGTGCAATATCACTCATATTGCACAAATATATATATCTGAACATCTCCAGCCTGTGAGTGTGGAGATGTTGAACCTCAGCAGTATCATTTCAGCATAGGAAGACAAACACTTCACTCTAAAAAATGCTGGAACTTCAGGGAGAAAACCCCCAAATTTTCCACCATGTCTTTAAGCCTAATGATCCAGAAGGCTGATATTGTACAATGGTCATTCATAATGTCAATTAACTTTGCTGAGGCAAAATACAGTCAACAAAAATGCTGGCTCTGTGACATAATTAATTTTGACATGACATTAAGCTTAAACCTGTCTAATGGTTCAGTTTTATTTTTCTGGGAGGGTGGTTCTTTGGTGGTTTTGCTGTTTAGTTTTTTGGCTCCCCCTCCCCAAGGATTTTGGAAAGCAGAATGACAAACAATTAAGTGTAGAAGAAAACAAAAGTTCTCATTTTCAGTATATTCTGAACTCCGATATATATTCATATTTTTCCTTATATTCCTTATAATTCCTTCTTGTGGAGAATAATTATATGCTCTAGAAGGAATAGCAGGTAATTCCTCTATTTCAAACCACTGATCTATCCCACCTCCCCATGGCTACCAGGAAACACTGTGGGAACATCTTCTTATGAAGCAGAAAGGCTGTTGCCTGCATTCCTTGCAAATTTTTCTTACAGTCCATGCTGGGAGAACAGTTCTACTGCACTTGCCTGTTGAGATAGACTCGTTTTTCTGTTAGCTGACCATTGCCATGGTTGGGATCTTCATAGGGCTCGTTCTGCACCACTTCCACACCCTCCCCTCGGTCACTCTGCTCATGGCTGTGCTTGCTGATCATGTACAGCTGTCCAATTCTGTACTGCAAGGCAAAACCAAGAACAAAGTATATTAGTTTTATGTTACACATGCATTTAAATGCGAATCTTAGTCAATTATATACTACCATATGTAAATAAAAGGTAGTGTGAAGGTGAAAACCAGTATTTTTGGGGTCCTCCCATTATCTTATGAAGTCCATAGTGTCACTTGTGGAAAAAATAACAAAACCTGTGTGCATACACATGTAAAGAATTAGGCCAGTCCTCTATTATTAGACTATGTATTTGTAAGTGTATTAGTTAAGACTAAGTAAACAGTTAATCTAGTGCTTCCACATGCTGAAATGTAAAGGGATTTTAACCAACAGGTGAACTCTAAAATTCTGTGAGACACAGGATTCTCCTGCCTTGCCAACACAATGAAGCCCTGCAATAAGATTTGGGGTAACTATGGCTGGTCCACAGAGACAGGAGCACCAGCTCTTAAGGAAAAAAAACCATGTAGACTCCAAGTCGTTAGACAAAAGAAGTTTGAGTCACTTGGCAATATTATTAAAATGCATTTAAGCACTTTAATGATAATTTTTCTATAGACTCTCAAGTAACTTAGGAAGCCAAACACTGTGAGGATCAGCCCAACTTTGCTATCATCAAAAAATAAATTGTTGCACTTGATTTTTTTCTCTCTATGTCTTGTATCTGCATCAGGGCTTTTGCCTCCAAAGAAATCTACCAAAAATACATTGTTGAACTTTCATTAACAAAGGTTTTAGAGTAAAGTTGTAGTTTCCCAATCATATTCTGGTCTGAAATTTTATTCTCAAGTTCTTTGCACACTCTTGAACATACCAGGGTTCTTCCAATAAAGTGTCTTTGGAGCTATCCAGTTTTCTTGATTGGACCCCTCTCTCCCTCAGAGTAATTTGTTTAGGCATATACATGCTAATCACTTCAATCACATCAATCCCCCTTCAAATACAAAGAACAACCTGTTAATTTAGAGAATGGCTGAGCTACCACACAAGCTGCCAAGTACCAACTCAGCAGAGGCAAACAAAAGGCTTGTGACAGTCTGTCCTCAGAAAACTCGATGAGATTCTTGTGGTTATTGCGTATTATAACAGCAAAGCTATCACATACTTTAAAGAGCCCAAATCAAAAGAGCAATTAGCTCAGAAAAACCCCCAAACCATCGTAAACCTTATTAGCAACAGGCAACAAGACAGTCTTACTAAACAAAATGATAAGGAATAGGAGGATGCAGGGCACCCTATATTAGTTCCTCAATTTTGCATAGTCCAAATTTTTTCCCCTATAGCAATAGGCACCAAGAAGGTAAGAAATTTGGAACTTCCATCTTGATTTAAGAGAGTAAGTCTTAACATTGTTTTACTTGCTAATCCACTTCTCTACCTTTTTCTCTACTGAATCCTTTTTCTCTGTCTCATCTTATTTGAACATTTTGTCCTTATCGCAAAGGCTCTGAAGAGCTGCAGACCACACACATAGCTTTTAACTAGAACCATGACAAATTGTTTTCTCTTTTTCTCTAACAAAAATGAATGTATTGGTGCACAGTGAAGGCAACGTTTGTAGTACATTTGATTTGATCAATTAGTACAGTTTGAAAAAGAATAAATTTCAGGCACACAAAGCTGTTCTTCAGGTCTGAAATCAAAGCAACACACTTAAAAGCTGAATACAAATTGAGAAAAAATGCTTTGCCTTTAATTAGATATGTATCAATTAGACCACCTGGGAGCACAGACTTCCTGCCTGTAGAGTGATAAGGATGGCAGAAAAGAGGAAAGGTGATAAGGTCCTTATCTTCTAATGGAAAGAAGAGGTCAGTAATTTGTATCCTGTGGAATATGAAAAGGATAGATGAGGAGTGGAGAGAGGAATTACAGTTTGACATAAAGTCAATATTTCGATCATGATCTCTATTGGGATTTTTGTTATCCCATAAAGTTATGAATTTTAGTTGCCATGGACACCTCTGGAAGTGTTTCATAATTGCACATATCAATTTCCTATGTCCATGTAGTCCTTTGCAAGTTTGCTCTCACTTTTAATGGTCAAATACAAACACCTCAGTTTCTGTTGGAAATGTTGGCTCAGAAATATCAGGATGAATGTACTTTCCCACTGACAACCAAATGTGGGGTTGTACTGATGCCCTCATTTGTCTCAGCAACATGAACCCCACAACACCACGTTTTGTTAACAGGTTGTTGTTCTTTCATGGACCCACCCCACCATAAAATGCTTGCAAGATGCCAAATCCCAAAGACTGCAAATGAATCTGAGCAGAAGTTTAAGGGGGCTAAGCCTTGTGCCCACTCTGCAGATGAGGGTCACTGCTGTCAAAGCAACTGCTTTGCAGATGCTGCACAGTCAGTGCCTGAAGGAAGGTTTTCCTCTGCTGAGGCTCAAAATCACACACGTTCCAGTCGTGCCCACGATCTCACAGAAGGTATCCAGGCAGCCCAGCATGGTGCCTCCTGTTTGGAAGATGCTGAAGGGAACAGAAGGCACCACTGCTGGACAGCTCTCCTGCAGGAACCCCACTGCTCCCGGCCTTCTGCAGGCGATGACTTTCCATAGCTGTGGATCTGACACCAGTCCAGTAGAAATATCCACCTTCAAAGCCAGCTTGAATGGAGCCCTGAGCAGCCTGGTCCGGGGGGTGACATCCCTGCCCACAGCAGGGGTTGGAATGAGAGGAGCTTTGAGGTCCCTTCCAACCCAGCCCATTCTGTGACCTTTCATAACAACTGAAGTGGCCGGGCAGGCCTGCTGGAAAGGAGCTGCATTCAGCAAAGGAAACATATTTGTACATGTACTTTAAAGTAGCTAACTTAGCACTTTGGTGTGCTATTCATTTGTTTCTACCTGCTGTACAAAATGTTAAAATCATTCTAGAGCAGAATGGAAAATGGTAACTTTCAAAATAATAGTACTTTACTAAATCAGAGTGCATAACTATTATTTCAGATAAAATAGCATTTTTTCAAGTGTATGTTTCTATTTACATGAATAAAATCCAAGGCAAAGATGTGCCTTTTAGAATTTGCTGGAATTTAAATGCCTGAATAAAAAGTCACAGCTTTTTCTTAGTTCCTATGGATGTTGTGGAGAAATAGCACTTAAGAATCGTTTCACCACAGTAATTGATACACATTATTCCTGCAAGGGTAAACTGACGTGCCACTACTATTTATTTTGTTCTATCACAGTCTGAATTTCTGTGTTCTTAGCTGTAAGATAATTTTCCAAGACCATCTAATGTTTCAAGGAATTCAGTAAAATTTCACACAACGGCACCTGATACAAATTTGGATCTGGAGCAAAACTCTTTGTAAATTCTTCAGTTTAATAGGGGAAAATTTATTCAATATCAGAGCAAGAACTTCAATAAACAAATGCACAGAATGTGGAAAAACAGCCCTGATGTTTCCCAAGCCCTAATGAGTGAGAATTTGTCTCGGTGGTGACTTGCCTGCTCCTTCAACAGGCAGATGGTGTTTGCTGTTGGGATTTAGTCATACAAGAAACAAGGTTCATGCTAGCAATAGCATAAGGATGGTCAATCTGATTTTGTTTAAAATTATAAGTGAGACCAGAAGCATTTTTATTCCTCAGATAGGAGGGGAAAAAAAAAAAGAAAAAATGAAAAAAAATTAAAATGGGGTCCACCCCACCCATCTTTCATTTGTAGAGCTCCCACCATCTCCAGCAGGAGCTGCACAAGACATCTTTGTACAACCATGTCTGAATTTTTTCAGCCTGACTGCCTATTGCTCAGGTTTTGATTTAATGCAAGTCTCAGAGTACAAACTTTCAAACTTCAGGTGGAATATAAAAAATAAAACTCTCTCAAAGGAGAAATTATGCCAAAATGATCTCATATCTGAAATTTTCATATGACTCCTTGAAGTTGTTATCTGAATGCTCACAGAAAATTAACAGTTTTATCATTGGCTTCGTCTTACATAATTCTCATATTCAAAAGAATGGTTGAACACTTTCATCTACTTTTACTTCTCTGTAACTAGTCTAAATCATCAGGGATGGTGCTGCCATTTCAATTTGTTCAATTTTTTTTTCTAAGCCAGTAGTGAGATCCCTTTCTGCAGAGAGGAGCTGGAGTCCAGAACACACTGAGTGTCTTTTCTGCCTGCTCAAGGTAATGATTGTTTGGTGAGCTGCATTTTGACAGTGGAAAGTATTTCTCACACATGTTCATGCTAAAACATGCCAGGCTTCTAGTCCTGTTCTCAGAAAATTGCAAAGGTAAAACAGAAAAAAAGCAAAAAAGCAGCAACAAGTAAAATGAAATAGATTTGTCCTCATGCACAAAGGCAGTTCTGAAGGTTCAACCCTGCCTCCACTGATGGCAATAATTGTTTTGTCATTGACCTCAATTTAGTTAAGATTTATTTCTAGCAAGAAAATACAATGAATGAGCTTCATTATCAGTTATATCAGTCCAGCTACACTGAAACCAGGGGCATGGATTATGGTAAAAGAGTAGCAATTTGATTACGGAATTCTGATTTATAGAATTCTGTCTCATTCACAGAAAACAATCTTAAAATTGATTGACACATTTCTGATGTATTTTTAAGTCTTAGTCTTTGCAAGATGCTCTGTGTGCTCCTTGTGAATGTGTTCCAGGACTCAGGTTTTTTTTTTCCACTAGAAGTATTAACAGGAATATTACTTATCACTTTTCCACATTGTGAATTATTTAAAACAATTGCTGGTTATTCCTCAAAGGACTACCATGACACAAACATGCTGATCCCCAGGTAAGTTACTAGTCCAAACATGCACAGCTCATCACTCCCAGCAATCTCTTCCCAGCAGTTTTACAGAGATATTTTACCTCTGGAATAAATTGTTTGGAAATGTACTTGCTTGAGTAAATATCTTTGTTTAGGAGGATACACTGAGGTTTCCTACTGTGTTTGTTTTGATGTTGAGGGCATTGTTTTCAGGTCCTGATCAAGACATAAGCCCTACACTGCTAT